GGCGATAGGCTTATCTGTTGTTCCTTAGGCCAAATAACTACCAAAAAAATTTTGAAGCTTCAACTCCAACCGGAAACACCCCCACATGCCACGCCCATTTTTTTCATCAATTTTTAACAGGTAAAAATCTTCATATCATCAATTTAGGCATGAAGGAGTGCTTTTAGTGCTCCAACAGTTTGGGGTCTAATAGTAATGGTAGAAAAAGGTTAACTTTAGTCAAAGTCTCAAGTCTCCACGGCGCTTGGTTTAGGCGCACCGGATCTCGCGTCTCCGCCTCCGCTGCGTGATTGGTGGCGCCAGAACTAAAGGTCGTAGAGACATGAGACTTCAACTAAAGTTAACCTTTTCCTACCATTTATATTAGAGTAGCACAGATTCATAGCTCTAAACACATTCCTTCATCCTTAAAACGACAATCATATGAATTTTGCCTGTAAAAGTTGATATCTTGATGTCAATTAACATCGTAAGCTTTTAAAACTAAAATTAATTAAATGAGTCATAATACTTCACACAATATTTACACACAATATGAAAATATAAATACAGGAAGTCTTTTGGATTCCACGTCTCACACCCTGGAACTGTCAGAGGTAAGAACACTAGAACAGTCTTTTATTAATAATCCAACAATCATATTATATGAACCTTTTCAGTTGAAACTTCGTTGGTTGCATTGTGTTGCAAAATTTCTTGCATTACAATACTAGTGAAAATAAACATTACTGGGGGAATTTGCCCTCTTCCAAGCTCTCTTACAATGAAGTCGCATTCCGGAGACTAATGTTTATGAATGAGCAGTCACTGTCGAGAACGAGCTGGTCGAGTATTGGGAATATGCCATCTATGGCGTGGAGAATTTCCCCTCTATACCGTGGAGAATTTCCCCTCTTCATGAATCCTACAAGAATTTAACAAGTATTCCCCCATCTTGGAGAGGGAATCAGTCCTTCAGCTTCAAGAAATTCAGTTTACAGAAGAGATTCATTTAGATGTTAGATCCATTACTGATAACTTGGTAAAGGAATTAGAACCAGATGCTACTTTGTTAGCTAATGCTTGGATATTTATAGTTATTTACTTAACTTTGTCTTGACGTATCAGTAAGAGATTACTGTACCTCGTTATTTACGAAGAAATCATCAGACCTTATTAATAGTGATCGGTGACCCTGTCAGTGACGACTGACGAGCTATGAAGGAATCATTGGATCTCATTGATAATGATCCTGTCAGTGACGAGCTATGAAGGAATTATTGGACCTCATCAATGCTGATCCTATCGGTGACGAGTTATAAAGAAATAAAGACCTCATTTAAATCCTAGTTTGACGAAAATATTCCTCTGGCAACAAAATTCCTTTTGGCAACGAAGATTAGACAGCTTGCTTGTGAAGACTTGGCGATCCGAAAACCAGGGTACCTAAATCAGAACCTGCTGACTTCTTTAAAGGATCAGTTCCACTTTCCAGTGCAGGGACCGAGAAAAGTTCAATGTCGAATCCAAGAGACTTCCTGTATTTATATTTTCATATTGTGTGTAAATATTGTGTGAAGTATTATGACTCATTTAATTAATTTTAGTTTTAAAAGCTTACGATGTTAATTGACATCAAGATATCAACTTTTACAGGCAAAATTCATATGATTGTCGTTTTAAGGATGAAGGAATGTGTTTAGAGCTATGAATCTGTGCTACTCTAATATAAATGGTAGGAAAAGGTTAACTTTAGTTGAAGTCTCATGTCTCTACGACCTTTAGTTCTGGCGCCACCAATCACGCAGCGGAGGCGGAGACGCGAGATCCGGTGCGCCTAAACCAAGCGCCGTGGAGACTTGAGACTTTGACTAAAGTTAACCTTTTTCTACCATTACTATTAGACCCCAAACTGTTGGAGCACTAAAAGCACTCCTTCATGCCTAAATTGATGATATGAAGATTTTTACCTGTTAAAAATTGATGAAAAAAATGGGCGTGGCATGTGGGGGTGTTTCCGGTTGGAGTTGAAGCTTCAAAATTTTTTTGGTAGTTATTTGGCCTAAGGAACAACAGATAAGCCTATCGCCGTAATTATTGGATAATATTTTTGTTTTATGAACCGGGCTATTTGACAGTGATTGCAAATTTCTTTTTGAAGACGATTAATCATACCTGATTTAACCGCCAGACGTCGTCTGCTGAGATGCAGCCGGGTCTCTAGTCACATTGCTGTATAGTCTTCCATTCACTCTACCAGAGCGTCTTCTCTTGTCTTTTCCACCATTTAGTCTAAGAAATATTGATTGTTTAATTATCCCTGCAAGAACTCTAGCCCCAGTCCTATTTAGGTGCAGCATGTCGGGTTGCCCATGCCTGTCAAACTGCTTAGACAGTTCCCAAGCAAGGACATTGTTCTGTACAAACTGCATAAAACCATCAACAAGCTGAACACCCTTACAGGTCTGAGGCAAGTCGAAGTGAATAGCCCTGTTAAATGTATCAACCTTTTCGTTCAGTAACATATCCTTAGTGGGTAATAATCTACAGACAGATACAGAAGTGGCTAAGTTTCTGTATCTGTTTAACTTTCAGCTTTAGTTTCTGGTAAATATCAACAATATCAGACTGACTCTTAACATCAGGCTGCTTCACTTCGTTGATCCCGCACAACAAAACAACATTAGCGTAAGGAGAGCCCAGTTGAGTTTTAGTTAATAGGTTTATGTTTTAAATCATAGTTTGAAAGGTTAGCCATGTTGGGGGGGGTACCAATGGCATAAATGGCATAATGGAGAATTGGCCAATAAAAATTTCCATTTATGCCATAAAACGTATGCCATTTATGCCATTTTTGATATAATACATTTCTAGTTTATTTATTTGTCATATGAATCTTTAACGATCATTCCAAGCGTTATAAAGCATGAAACATGTCTCTTATTCAAGTACTAATAATAATTTGCGAATTTTAAGTCAAATATGAAGACCTAAATTCATGGCATAAATGGAGAATTGGCCAATAAAAATTTCCATTTATGCCATAAAACGTATGCCATTTATGCCATTTTATGCCATTGGTACCCCCCCGCCATGTTTCATGGCAGAGAGAGATATCATGTTTCATGGCAGAGAGAGATATCATGTGTGCAGGTATTATTATACATTTACAAATAAATCTAAATTTAAATACACAATATAGGTAGTGCGCCATCGACAGTGAGCCGCGCGTGCCGACTGTAGGATGGTTTTTTAGCGCTAATTTCGGCCAGCACAATTTTCTTCAAACAAATAGATATTCAGTATACTTCCCGACCTCCGATTGCAACAAAAATTGGTTAGCTTACTCATTGAATTACAAGGAAAGTGTCCGAAAAATTTAAAAGTTTAAAACAAGAATTGCGCCCGTTGTTTCGTTTTGGCGGACGCTAGATTTCCATTCACTATAACTATAAATATAGGCTCCAATCAGCTCACTTCATAATAATAATATTGATACACATCAGTACACTATACTAAGCATGCCATGTACATAAATTGGGCTTATTACCTAATATTATACTTGTTTGCATGAAAAGCTTTAATAGTATACATTAAAATACACTCGCGCCGCGCATTCATTGACAGGCTAGCTATATACATCACATCTCCGCAAGCATGATACTCGCGCGCTGCACTGCGCGCTAGTTGACATGGATACAAATACCAACATTATTATATTCCCAAACGTTTGAACCTTTAAATTAACTAGGAAAGTCAATCCTCAACTTGACTTTTACTGTTTTAAACAGATATGATGATATTAACTTAATTTATTATTATTATTTTTTTTTTACATACTCCTTCTTAGTGTGGTGACTTGGGGTCCATAAATATAACAATACAAGCTGATAAACCAAAAAGAACAAAAAGAACAACTGGGGTAGGTAGGTAGCCCTGGTGGGTGCGTAAACTTTACGGTCTGCTCTCTCCAAGATCAGCCTGCTTCTCCATTTTACCGTGAAGCCTAATTTCTAGTTTTTATAAAATATACAATGCAAGTGCAGGTTTACTAATCTTAATCTACTTAACAACTCAATAGCCCAAGTCACCATACCCGTAGTATATTCCATGGTAATAGAAGAGCTTTAAAGTTGTTCAAATTGTTGCTATAATTGATTTAAATAAAAATTTGTTGTTTTCTTGAAAAAATTTGTTGTTTTCTTGGTTACTAACGGAAGTACGCACCGACGACATATTTAAACCCACCTACAACTTTCTCCAAAATCCACATTTTTCTGCAAAAACGTCCATTCGCAACCTTTCACTATGGCCTTTTTACAAAAGGGTGAACGGAAAAAATTAAATGTCAAACAATATACATACAATAAATTTAATCAAATGATGCAATTGGCAGACGGCTGGCCCATAGAATTAAAAATAGAAGGATTTTTTACTGATGAAAATCGAAGCGAAAACCTTGTAACTCTATGTTTTCGAGGACGCTGAACAAGATTAAACTGGTTATAATTATCATACTCGAAGGCAAATTGCTTTAAAGTGTACTTGAATGTCATAGATGCTATTATACGCTTTAAGTGGCTTATTGAGTGGCACCAGTCTGTGTTAGGGCTACTTACAGATTGACGGTTGACGCTCCTGTTAGCGCACATTGAACTGCAAACGTGACTGTGCAGAGCCAATGCAGTGCCGTGCTTGAAACGACTTCCGTGAGCGGCAAGCCAGATCCTTCCGAAGGGCAAAGGAGATCAGGGCCAAGTGGCTAGCTGATGGAGCTGAGACAATGAGACAAATTTGATGAGGGTCTAGCGGAACTTACATAATGTTTAATTTATTGATATTATTGATCGACATCGTTTGCACATTTTTGTCATGACATAATTATAATATATATATATATAAACAGCACCTCTTGGCGTTTTATTGTCTCGATCTTACTCCTACACATTATGCTACATGAATGAAATTTCTAAATTTCTAAATTTCTTGTTTCATTGAGTTTTAGTGTAGTGTACTTCAGTTTTTAGTGTAGAAACATGTACAAGTGCCCAACGTGCAATGAAGACGTATGGGGAGGGAAACGATCCTTGGATGGGCACATGGCAAACAAACACAATCAATTACAATACAAATGCGGTTAGTCATCTCTGAAACTTAAACTTGTGTGTTTAACGATTGAATTGGGATCCGTAAAATTGGGAAAATTTCTACAGTGCTCAGAATTTATTAAATTTATTAATTTACGTAAATAAATTAATAAAAATCAATAATAAATATTAAGTTGGAGGAACATAGAACTATCTCAGGTTGATAATATGTGCTCTTATTACCACATACTAGCGAGCTCCTAATTATCTATGCAAAAATACATAACATTACCAAATTGATGACATTAAGTAATATATTTATAAATTAATTTCAGGCACCTGCTCGAAGCAGTTCGCTTCATCAAGAGGAATGAAAGGACATGATTGTGCTTCAAACAAAGGTAAATATAATCATAAATACCGGGATTATAAGCACACCCCCCCAATATGATCTTTGCTGGGAGGATAGCTGGTATATTACTGATGAATAATGAAACACATTTTTCTGACAAATTAATTTCCCGTAGTGACGAAATGCGATTCTCCTGGATGTAGTTACACGGGAACGGAGGATTACGTAAGTAAAACTTATATATTCCAATTAATATTATGTTTAGATATTTACAATTAAGTTAATAATCAAACCAAATCTAAGGAATTTTAAAATGTTGGGGGGGGGGGGGATCTGGCAGTTACTTCATGACACAGGGTGGGGTGGGTGGGTGTCTTGCTGATCCAGACATCAGTTAGTACCAGGTACTTAAATCACGAAATCAGTCAGTAGGTAAATCACGAAAACTCGGCCGAAAACAACAATTTTTAGCATTCAATTCTGAAAATTTTGAGAAGAGTTTGTCCCACTGACACGAAAGTCAGATTTTTTTGAAATATTTTATCATGAACCCCTAACCGGAGTCCAAAAAAAGCTTAATAACATTTTGGGGGTGGGTGTCTCCGAATCAAGGTCAAAATCAGTCAGTACCGGGTAGTAAAGTTGAAAAGCTGAAATTTCGGAAAATATGCAGTTAGTACCTGATCCCCCCCCCCCTGATACCAACCCTCTCGGCTACACTTCAAAGATTAGGTTTTCGAGTAACCACATTTTCTCCACCATTATATTAGTTATAAAGTTTTAACAAAAGCAACACGTTACACAAATCACTTTCACAGATGAAAGAGCACAAAAGGAGGGTGCATAGTGGAGGATACACTTGCATACTGTGTCATGGACACTTCAATGACACCCAAAATAAAGTGAAGTAGGTGTAATTGTGTCATTATACAATATATATAATATATATAATATAAAATAATAATTTAATGATATTTCGTCATTTATAACCCGCTTAGACAATGTGAGCCTAATAAAATATATTGCATTGGTCAAGCTGGGGCATCGGTTGTGTGCATTTTAATTAAGGGAACGGGAACATTTTCATGAAGACCCCCATGCCCCATTAACCATTATAGTTTTAAAACGATCGAGTATAGTTTTAAAACGATCGATCCCACTGGTATAAATTAAGTGGATACTCGAATCGAGTATTCGAGTATCCACTAAATTCATATTGGTGGCATCGATAGTTTTAAAACTATAATGGTTTAAAACTTTAAAATGGGCATGGTGGGTCTTCATGAAAATCCGCGGATATTTAATTTTACCTATGGTCGGAATCTGAAATGGTTGTTTTAACGACTATTCAAAACCCTGATTATTGATTAATACCATAGGTGTTTATGTGAAGTTTATTGAGGATAGTTGAATATTCTATTTTGTTTGATAATATCAGAGTTCAGAGAAATAGATTGGACTGGAGCATTAACTAGTGACCATCACAAAGTTTCATTCAGAAGTTATAAACAAATTGAGATAACTGATAAAGTTATTTAAATACATAGATATGTGCTGTTCAAGTAAAGGAGCAGCATATACCTAGCCTTATTACATGAAATTAAGATTACACATAATTAAGATATTGGCCGGAAAAATGTCTTAATTATTATATGCTTTCTGTAATGATAATTTCCTTATAAAATACATAATTATGATATTTTTCGAAAAAACATATTAATTATGAACTTATCTTAATTTTATCCAATCTTAATTTCATGTAATAAGGTATTCGATTGATTATCTTTATCAGACACGAAGATATCTGTATGAAAAGAAAGACTGCTGGATATGTTTGTCCCATTTGTCAAAAACGGTTTACGAGTAAGCGAGATCTCAATGGGTAATGATTATGTATACTTGTGACACATAGATATAGAACAAGTGAAGCTGCGTGGTTCGTTTAATTTTCGACGTATTGTCTTCATCAGAACTCAAATGTAATGTGTTGTAGTTGTCTGAAAAGTTTAAACTTTTCAAACAACTACTACATCACATTATCTATGTGTCAAGAAAAATAAAAACATCTTATAATTCACCAGGCACACAAAGTATTGTATCAAGAAGCAGACAGAGTGTAGTAGTAGTAGTACTCAGACAGAGTGGGCAAATGCTAAAGCCGCGCATCCCACCATACCGAGTGCAGCGGACGTGAGAAAGAAAATCGAAGAGGGCAAGAAGAAGGAGAGAGAGCGTGGGCTTGCTTCCTTTCGTTCAGGTTTGCAACAAATATTATTTTGATCTGATCTAAAATGATATGAATAGAATTTACAAGTTCAGCAAGAGATTACTGACACAAGGAAACACGTTGAAATTGCATCATAGAACCTGACTTGCAAAATATAATAATTACCTGCTAGCGCCGGAAGGTAATCTATTGGGGCAGTGACCGAGAGTGCCCAATTTCATGACAAGTTTACGACAATATGTGACAATATGTGACAATATACGACAAGTTTACGACAAGATTTGACATTGAATAACAATTTTTGACAGGGAATTGACAATATACGACAAGATTTGACAAGATTTGACATGGAATAACATTTTTTGACAGGGAATTGACAATATACGACAAGATTTGACAGGGAATGACAATTTTTGACAGGGAATTGACATACGACAAGATTTGACAGGGAATAAAAATTTTTGACAGGGAATGACAATATACGACAAGATTTGACAAGATTTGACATGGAATAACATTTTTTGACAGGGAATTGACAATATACGACAAGATTTGACAGGGAATGACAATTTTTGACAGGGAATTGACATACGACAAGATTTGACAGGGAATAAAAATTTTTGACAGGGAATGACAATATACGACAAGATTTGACAGGGAATGACAATTTTTGACAGGGATTTGACATACGATAAGATTTGACAGGGAATAACAATTTTTGACAGGAAATGACAATATACGACATTATTCGACAAACCGTGGGAAAAAGGGCACTCTCGGTCAATGCCCCATTAAGTCCATTGGACGCGTGCAGTCACGTACGCAGCGAAATCCTCGAATCAGATTTTGTTACTATTTTGATTTGAACAGGGGTCCTCATTTTACTTCCTACTTGTGGCGCCAATTACTGAATAAAATTTGTGGCTTGTTTATAATATCTTATTTGGTATTCTTGATGATAAGTGTGATCACGATTCCCGTTTTTAAATAAGCTTAAATTGACAACATTAATATTTTAATATACAAAACTTTCTATCAGGAATGTCAGTTCAAGAAACAGAAAAGTTTGAGGAGGTTTATATCAAAGAAGAGATGACAGACGCTCAACAAGTTAACACTAGTACTTCAACCTGGTCATCATCAGTATGCTTTTGTAAATGTGAGGAAAACAACGAAAATAACAATCTGAAAGCTGAGGGTTTGCCGGCTAATCAGTTTAAAGCTGGTTCAGAACACTTCAACCAAGTAGGTGAAGATGTAAAGATTGAGGATGACAGGGTTTCCCGTGGTGTCCTGGCTAACGCTGAGCTTTTGGACTGTAAAGGACTTCAGAGTGATGAATGTAATCTCCCGTTGTCACTATCGAAAGTAAGGCGTGTGAAAATAGAGTGCTCATCTGTTCCCAACGAGTCTGACTGTGGTAGTCAGGGAGAAACCGCGCCATCTGGGACTGGACACAAGTTGAAAAAACACAAACAAACAAGCACTCTTGCTAATCACGAACGAACAAACACAGGAGAAAAAATGTTTTTTTGCAGTTTTTGTGATTATAAATCAAGTCGATCAAGCCATCTTGCTATTCACAAACGGAAACACACCGTAGAAAAACCTTATTCTTGCAGTTTGTGTGATTATAAAACGAGTCAATTGGGTTATCTTACTATTCACAAACTGACACACACCGTAGAAAAACCTTATTCTTGCAGTTTGTGTGATTATAAAACGAGTCAATCGAGTGCTCTTACTGTTCACAAACAGACACACACAGGAGAGAAACCTTATTCTTGCAGATTGTGTGATTATAAAGCGAGTCGAGCAGTCACTCTTATCATTCACGAACGGATCAAACACAAAGGAGAAAAACCTCAGCACGGTACTGGCCCATGAAGATCTTGAATGTGTCCTACCGGTAGGACATGTTCGAATTTCAGCTTTCCGCGACCCAAATTTCGCTGTTTTGACTGAATTTTTCTTGAATCTAACAGGGTCACTGAGGATGGCACAAGACACGATTGAGGTATAATACTCAAAGTTCTTTTCTCAAGGAAAGCTTTCATAAACGGAAAATCATCAGAATATAAATGAGATTTTCGAAGAGGAGCTTTTCTGCCGTCCCCTTGAATGAAATTTTGACCAGTGACCAATCAGTGAAGTCGGCGAAAGTGCCTTAAAAGCTTAAAGTCGCCATTAAGGTACTGGAACCAGTATATCCGGAGAAAACTTTGATGCAATGAAAGTTTTGAATATGTTTTACCGGAAGGACATTATATTTTATGATCTGTTGAAAACTTTGATAAATAAAGGATACAATTTAAATTTGTTTTATTAATCCAACTTGTAATTTGTTTGAACACTTTTTTTAACATTCCTATTTCACATTATATGATTCCTATTGTGATCTTACCTGTGTATCATTAACAATTAATGATACACAGGTTTACTAATATTGTATTTTTCTTTTTTAAACTGATAACACAGAAACTTATTAATTATAATTTTATAATATTATTTGATTGTAAAATAAGGGATAGAATTTAAAATTTGTTTAATTATTTGACTTTTATTATTTTCAAAGGGTTTATTTTTTAGCTTACCTGATCCTCTCCAACTTGTATTAGTACACTACTTCATTCACACCAGTCATTTCACTACATTAAACTGATTGAGGTTATGCCCTTTGTACATGCTGAAGCGATATGCTATGATGAGTGGAATATGAGTTAGGATCAGTTTGGTCCGTTTCATGGCAAAAACATTTATTGGTTTATTTTTTAGTCCTTTCAATAAATGTTGATCTCTCACTGACTACCTTATTATTAGCAAGTCTCCACTCCACAACAATGGGTCACGACAACGTATGGTACTCTCACCCCAGGAAATACGGACCAGGCTCCAGGAAGTGCCGAGTCTGCGCTAATCACCACGGTCTTATCAGAAAGTACAGTCTAGACATGTGCAGACAGTGTTTCCAACAATACTCAAAAGCTATTGGATTCCAGAAGCTGAGATAGATGTGAAGTCTTGAAGAAATGGGGTTTTCTAATTTGTTTTTTAAAACGTTTATTTGTTCTTGAATTTAGAATATCATATGAGTTTGTTTTATTTATCTCTACCTGGTTCAAATTGAAAAAAGAGATTCCTCGACATTACATAGTCTTAATCGTTTTCTAAGATAATTATCGATACATATTTGCACGAATACTTTAAAGCAACATTTACCCAGTTACGCATTAATGTGACTGATAAATTCTGTTCCTGTTACAACTTTATAGTCCTAATAACATAACTCAGTATTGACAACATAACCCACCAATTAGGAGTATGTTGCTTGGCCGTATCTCACGACTTGTGTCTCCGTCGCTATGCCGCTCAAACCACACTGTCACCCTCTTCCCTGGTGATGGCATAGGACCTCAGATATCAGAGTCTGTCAAGGAGATATTTGCAGCTGCAGACGTGCCAATTACCTGGGAGGAGCATGAAGTTTATCCAATTCTCGGTTAGTTTTCCGCTTTAGACTGTCGTCTTGTACTTTTTGGTTGGTCGGATTGACATCGTTTCATGCCAAGAGCTGGCCACAATGGTGGTCGGTACCACAAATATTCTTCAGTTTGTGTAACGCGCGAATACGTTTTCTTATAAGAACATGTTAATTTTCCTTAAAACCGACTTAAATGCGCGCGTACCGTGCGCGTTTTCACCAACAAATGCTCACTGTAAGGCATGGAGTTTCCACCGATATTAATATAATACCTTATCGACCTTTGAAGCTTTAAAGGTTTTAATGAAATTTGGTTATATCCCAAATAACAGTATATAAATTACAGAAAAGAACGGAAAAACGAGAATACCGCAGCCAGCAATCGACTCAATCTTCAAGAACAAGATTGGATTAAAAGGACCAATGAGAACGGCCATTGGTAAAGGTCATGTGTCACTGAATCTCACGATAAGAAGAACGTTCGGTCTGTACGCCAACGTCCGACCAGCCAAGACAGTGCCTGGTGTTAAAACTCCTTATTCTGAAGAGGGCGTGGACTGTGTCATCATGAGGGAGAATACGGAGGGGGAATACTCCGGCATCGAGCATACGGTCAGTAACTTTCATATTCTGCATACGGTCAGTAACTTTGATATTCTGCATACGGTCAGTAACTTTGATATTCTGCATACGGTCAGTAACTTTCATATTCTGCATACGGTCAGTAACTTTCATATTCTGCATACGGTCAGTAACTTTCATATTCTGCATAATCGTAATTTTAGCTAAATACCACGTGTATAACTTCCCAATGTTTTAATAAGGATAAAATATAAACTCACCTGACACCCCCCTTCAGGTAGTACCGGGTGTAGTGCAGAGCGTGAAGCTCATAACACGGGTAGCAAGCCGCAACGTTGCAGAGTACGCCTTCAAGTACGCCGTAGACAACGGTAGGTCCAACATTGTGGCACTTCATAAAGCTAACATCATGAAGATGTCGGATGGAACCTTCCTGGAGGAGTGCCGAGCTGTTGCTGAGCAGGTTTGTGTGAAAATACATTGTGTATCTACATTGTCTGGTATTTTTACGATTTATGAAATAAAGTCAACAAATATTTGATGATATCTTAAACCCTAGCATTTTTATTTTCTTTTCGTGTCTCTCTTACCAGTCTTAACTTTGCAGTTTCCCCAAATAAAGTACCGTGAGATGTACCTGGATTCAGCGTGCCTCAAGATCGTTAAAGACCCCTCACAATTTGATGTCATGCTCATGCCCAATTTGTACGGTGATATTTTCAGCGACTTGACTGCGGGTAAGCGAGACATTTCAAGATGTACCCAACTTTGGCCAAACATCTTGGTTACATTAAGTGCTTTTCTGCAAATTTCGCTCTTAAAACTCATAATAGTTAAAAATCATCAAACAGTGTGCAATGAGCTACCACAGTCTACTAGAATATGCTTGCAAGCATCTACTATCCACTCTCACAGGTCTGATCTACTAATTACTATTCACTCTGACAGGTCTGATCGGAGGCTTAGGTCTGGCCCCGAGTGGTAACATGGGTAAGGACGGTATTGCAATATATGAGGCTGTCCACGGCACTGCTGATGATCTTACAGCTACGGTAAAGATTTTATCTAGATTATAAAATCTGTTTTGAGTTGATATTTTGTGGAATATTTCGCGTTTGTCCTTGGTCTGCCACATTTACTTAATGAACGAGATCTTCTTAAGGGAGTTGATGTTTTAAAAGAGTATAAATCATAATCTTAACTTCGTTTTCAGAACAAAGGAAACCCGACCGCTCTCCTCATGTCTGGACTCATGATGTTGCGACATTTGGAGCTTACATCTCACGCAGATACGATCGAGAAAGCAATCTTGGAAACTCTCACGGTATATTAGAATTATTTAATTACATTATTAAATCTATATTTTCTAAGAAGGGTTTACTAATTGTACAGAATCAACTTCTGACTCTACCAAACAGCTTTAACTTCATCGAAATATTCATTTGCTCTGAATTATGTAGAGATTAGATATTACTCTCTGGACACGAAATCCCATGGATTCGTGGTTACAACAAGCTGTGCTAACTCTAATTCTATTGTATAGGAGAGAAAGTTTGTGACCGGTGACATCGGAGGCTCGGCCACCAACCCCCAATACACGGCTGAGATCTGCAGGAAAATCCGCGCCTCCTCTTGAGAAACTCACTCCTTTTAAAACCGGTCTCCTTCAAGGATCATCTGGGAAATGTGTCAAAAATACACATGTCCCAATCTGAGAACTTGGTTTGAGACCGGAGGGAATTTGTTAGCAAGAACCCGTGTTGTATAGGATGTTTTCAGTCTCCAACAAATAGTTAATATCTGCTATTTCAAATGACCCATGCATCATCTGTTAATTATTTATTGCATTGTTAAATTAAATTCATCTCATATATAACGCGTATTAATTTGGGTGCATGATAAGTTTTCTGAAACCATATAATCTACCTTCTGAAATTATTTAGATGTCGGTTTGAGTTCCAAAGTTTTGTAAAGTTACACATTGTATTTGTATTTGTATAAAAAATGCTATCCTTTACAATGTACACGCAAATGCAAGCTTTGACTTTGGTCTTGATTTCGTGGAAGTTTTACAACGACTTGAACCGAAAAATACCATTTCATCAATTAGAAATTTTTAACGATCTTCTATTTGAATCGTAACCAAAACTTCATCACGTAAGATAAAAAGATATTTTAAAGGATGGAAAGCCACGTCGATTGGGTTCTAAGATGCCGTGGCTTACCCTACTCCATCACCAAAGTGGAGATGGAGAAGTTCTTCGACACTTCGACCCTGGCTACTAATACTGAGGACTGTGTTCAGATCACATACAACGAGGAAGGTTTGTAGCACGTGACCATTATATTACTACACGTGATCATCATTTTACTACACGTGACCATTATATTACTACACGTGATCATTATTTTACTACACGTGACCATTATATTACTACACGTGATCATTATATTACTACACGTGATCATTATTTTACTACACGTGATCATCATTTTACTACACGTGATCATCATTTTACTACACGTGATCATTATTTTACTACACGTGACCATTATATTACTACACGTGATCATTATATTACTACACGTGATCATTATTTTACTACACGTGATCATTATATTACTACACGTGATCATTATTTCACTACACGTGACCATTATATTACTACACGTGATCATCATTTTACTACACGTGATCATTATTTTACTACACGTGATCACCGATTCTCATATAAATTTCAATTTTTGGTCTGCACAAATTTTTGAAAATTCTTTCGAACAATATCATATGCAACATGTATCCGATCCGAAACATTAACAATTAATAATAATTTGTACGCTTAAGTTATGACCTTAATTTATGGTCTTAGAGAGGGCAACCGATATTATGTTTGACATACAGATAAACAAAATAAACCATTAAGTCGTAAAAAAGGATAAAAATAGGGAGAATATCAAGCATACTCATCTATTATAACAAATCTTCTGCCAGACTACATTGTTAAATGAAATCTTTCAAATCAATTACAGTTCTTTGGGTAATTAACTACATTAGACGGATTAATTAACTACATTTGACAGGTCGACCGTCCGGCGAGTGTTTTGTGGTGATGTCGAATGAGGAGAGCTATTATAACGGCCTTAGAAAAAACAACGAGTACCTTAAATCCAGGTGAGATAATAATTTGTTATTTTAAATACTGAAAACTTAAATTAAATGAAATTTAAGAATTTACATGAGATATCACATCATTTTAGACCTCAAATGAACGGCTTTATGTAACTCAAAAATCCGGTTTAATTCAATCGTCAACTGTGCTCGAGCGTGAAGTTTCTGAAAAATGTCTGACAAACATGCTCGCACAATATTTCAAACTGAAATGAAAAACAAATAAGCCCATCACTCTAAGGTGCTAGAACCGTTAGAAACACTACAAAACTGACTAACACAGCTGAAACTGTTCCCGTGAGTCCGCCGTTACAATAATCATCCTGACAGCGAGACAGCGCTTCACAAGTTATCTCCACAATTATGCTGTCTTCATCCGCTATTTCTTGACGGGCTTTTTCTCTGAGTGGGTCACACGTGACCTGGGGAGGGGACTTTAGTTAATAATAATAATAATAACAAAGTATTTATAACTCGCTCATATTAGCAACTAGTAACCAAGAATGGTACTAGCTACTAATGTCAGAGCGGCTCTCATAACAAAGAGAAAACTATAATAATTTAGAATTCTCCAACAAAAAATTCTCATTTTCCTTTAAACTGCTTAAAAGTTACAAAAACTGATATTGGAGAAACTTTTATTGGGTGCTCGCATTAAAGATAGGATTGAAACATTTATGTCGTACTCTTATCAAATTTATATGCTCATTTATAAAGTAAAGTATTTAAAATAAATTTATAAAGGAGTTTAAAAATTGGAAATGCTTGACAAAATTGTCGTGCGTGTAGCCTATTGCCTATTGCCTATTGTATCGCATATTATTGATAATTATAACATCATCCTAAACCTAATTAAGTTAGAAGTTACTTAAGTAATCATCAAATGAGGGAAGCTAATTAAGTAATTAACTCATAATTTAGTAATTAAGAATTGATTAAATAATTAACAATTAATTAAGGAACTCACAGTAATATTGGAGCACCCTTTGAAGCGGTATTCCTCCTTGTAGCGCAGTTTAGCCTTCTTGTTGTACACAGTGGTAACTCTAAAATCAACACAATACGTCTCACTGTCTTCACACTTCACTCTTCCAAACTCCTCTGCCTGAAAATCACCTTTACTCTAGTTTGAAGGGACGGTTTTAACACATCATTTATTGGTCGCACTATGCATATTACTATTATAGAATTATACCATAATTTGAATTGACAGATTTTTTTGTTCATTTCTCAGCCTTCTTCTCTAAATCTTGCTATTAAAATACTTTGTACCCATTTTAAATTTTAAATATTTTCAAAACTAAATCAGTATTTATTAAGAAGAGCGTTGCAATGTCCTCACCTGGGAGCAATATGGAAGAAGCCTCCCAGCACTGTTCTTAACCCCGGCCGTGTACTGAGTATACCCTTTAGTTTTATACTCTGAACATTCTGCACATTCTAACCCGGCTACTACCCGGCTCGAAAGAGAGAGGAGGAGAGGAATAAGGAGGAGGGTTGGGGACTTTATCATGCTCTCAGTTAGAACGAGGATTCTCAGGATCGGCGAGATGGAAGATTTGATCTTGAAGGATTGTTCTTTCCAGAAACAGTAATTTTGACAAATTTTCAGCTTTTCTGGATCATAGATGGCTTTATTTTCAGTGTCTTTAATCTTTATTACAGCGAACAATGCATCGTGGTTGCTAAGTCATCAGGTTCTGAATCTGTTGTCGTTGATGGTGGGTTATTATCCAGCATTATTATTATAAGCAACGGGAAATAGCAAATCTTCAAAGTTCAAACTTCCAACCATTTTTAACTTCAAATAATTGCCGAGAATACCTTTAACCAAAATCATTTGTGCAGTACAACAATTACATTGTCACCACTCATACATACAAATACACGGGACAAATTGTTCAGTGTTCAGCACTGTGAGCAATAAAACAGCAATAAAACAGCTACAAACCAAACAAAAGCAACGATCAGCTGAAAACATGAGTTTTAGGCGTTCATTACAAGAACAATAAAGGCGGAGATCGCATGAAATATGGAATAATCAAATTTGTAAATTGACATGACATGTCAATTTACAAATTTGATGTCATATCTGGTTAGAATATAGCATTGATTATCATAATTTACCTAATTTACCTAATTGGTCGTCTTGATCTGTTTTGGTTGAAAGAAATCACAGGCGTATTGCACGCGGCTAATTATAGAAATTTTCCAAACAGCCGCTGGTATTTGAATTTAATGACTCTATATTCGTTGTTTTCTGAAGATGGCATTCCGTGACAAAGGAAATGACCGGACATTGATTATGTCACGTCCGTGCGACGACAACTTATGGGATAAAGCGTTCAATTGTACAACTTAACTATTAGATCGGAACGAAGATATTAGTTCAATTGTACAACTTAACTATTAGATCGGAACGAAGATATTAGTTCAATTGTACAACTTAACTATTAGATCAGAACGAAGATATAAGTTCAATCGTACAACTTAACTATTAGATCAGAACGAAGATAAGTTAAATTGTACAACTTAACTATTAGATCAGAATGAAGATAAGTTAAATTGTACAACTTAACTATTAGATCAGAATGAAGATATAAGTTAAATTGTACAACTTAACTATTAGATCCGAACGAAGATGTTAGTTCAATTTTGCAACTTATCCATTAGATCAGAACGACGATAAGTTCAAAAGTTAAAATTAGTAAAATGCTCTAAAATCACTATAAGCACATAATACTGATAGACAGACATAGATGAGAACGAAAAGAAGTTTCGAGTTGTTCGAGCTGTGATCCGTTAAAAGCTCACATATAATACATGACAAGCAGCTGTGTGTGGTAAGAGTGTGTTTCTCTGTGTGTTTTAACAAGTGCTACTGAAGTGTTACTGAAGTGTCCCTGAAGTGTTACTGACGTGTTATCAGATATATTGTCAGAACTTGTATGGAACTTTTAGAGTAGTGTAGTAGAACGTCATTTTGAAAGCCCAATATCTTGAAGTATCATCTTATTAAAAGAATGGTTGGATTTGTGACGAGCATAATTTATGTGCAACTACCTGATGACCACTAGTTACTGTAACTAATATAACATTGTGAAAGTGAGCGCTGCTAGAATTCTAAAGATTGATAGAGACCGGGATATAACATTTAGGGGGGGGGGGGATGACCATATTAAAGTATAATGGGGGGATGACCATATTAAAGTATATCATCCCCCCCCATCTAGTATATTCCAGACCCCGGAACAGTGTTATGAAGTATAATACCCATACAACCAGACACAAATCTATATCTACCTACTGTCTAGTAAAACTACAGCTCACCCAGTGAAACCTTGCAATCTGTCCGGTGTAGCTATAATTACATGTCTATAAATAAAAACCTACCCGAGCATAACGAGCTTAGCCAGTGAGCTCTCTCTCTCTCTCCTTACTCCAGTCTCCACGTTTCTCTAATGTGTTAATGGTTGGTAGACTCTCCGGCTAGATGCTCTCTTCCGGTGCCGCAGAGTAAGGGATACATACGGGATTATAACTATAAGGGGTTACTCTGTGGCCTCTGGGCTCTTGGTATGGACCTCCGGACCTAGGTCCTAGAGGGAATGGGATGTCATTGCTATTTGCAAAAAAGAGATAGCGGTTGACTCGGGAGTTTGATAATACATTTTACTGATAGAAGCTGGTGATGATAGAGTTGACTAATTGTGGTGAGCAGTACTAGGACATTGTAGTTAGGAATATATTGTAGTTAAAGATTGATTGCGGTTGGACCGACATGAGTTACATGCAACTCCAATACAATTTAGATTGAACGTTAGACTCAATTAATAAAAATGAGCGCAACAGTTCACAAAAGTAAGTAATAAAACTCCTTGTTGTAAGGAGTTTTAGTACTTGTTATATATAACAGTTTTGTATCCGCAGGTATATCGAAGTGTTTGAGTCAGATTGGGACGACATGAACCGCGCCCTCCAAAAAGGGGCAGTCAACAGACAGTATTACGGCGGTACAGAGGCACCCATCGTTAAATTACGTGGACTTCCCTTTAGCGTTACGGACGAGCAGATCACGGAGTTCTTCTCTGGGCTCCAGGTCATCTCTATGAAGGTTGGTGTGATGTTGAAATTGCTGGGCTCCAGGTCATCTCTATGAAGGTTGGTGTGATGTTGAAATTGCTGGGCTCCAGGTCATCTCTATGAAGGTTGGTGTGATGTTGAAATTGCTGGGCTCCAGGTCATCTCTATGAAGGTTGGTGTGATGTTGAAATTGCTGGGCTCCAGGTCATCTCTATGAAGGTTGGTGTGATGTTGAAATTGCTGGGCTCCAGGTCATCTCTATGAAGGTTGGTGTGATGTTGAAATTGCTGAGCTCCAGGTCATCTCTATGAAGGTTGGTGTGATGTTGAAATTGCTGAGCTCCAGGTCATCTCTATGAAGGTTGGTGTGATGTTGAAATTGCTAGGCTCCAGGTCATCTCTATGAAGGTTGGTGTGATGTTGAAATTGCTGGGCTCCAGGTCATCTCTATGAAGGTTGGTGTGATGTTGAAATTGCTAGGCTCCAGGTCATCTCTATGAAGGTTGGTGTGATGTTGAAATTGCTGGGCTCCATGTCATCTCTATGAAGGTTGGTGTGATGTTGAAATTGCTGGGCTCCAGGTCATATCTATGAAGGTTGGTGTGATGTTGAAATTGCTGGGCTCCAGGTCATCTCTATGAAGGTTGGTGTGATGTTGAAATTGCTGGGCTCCAGGTCATCTCTATGAAGTATCACGTCATTCAACGATGAATTCAGAAATTACAACGCAAAGGATCGGGACTCGAATGACAGACAAATTACTGAAAACTAGCTCATCAATCCCAACAATCTTCAAAAACTCCCTCTTCAGGTCAAAAGAAAAGAGGACGGTGATGCTACAGGCGAGGGCTATGTTAAGTTCGGGAAACAGTCCGAGGCAACTACCGCTCTCGAAAAGCACATGCAGAAGATAGGACACAGGTAACGTCCCAAGTTTTAGTACACTCTTAGAGACATCTGAATCGTCATCATTTAAGGATTTGTATATAAAGGAAAACTGTTTCTATATCGTTTGTATGTTCCAGCCATTTTATCCGTTAACCATAACTGATAACACTAGTTGCTGCAGTATGTGTTTCTTGTCACATAATATGCGACTAGAGGCATATATTGCTAAAGATATTATACATTATATACCTTAGATAAAATCTTCAGTTTTCCCCAACAGTTTTTCTTCCTTTCCGCAAAATAAGACTGGACAATTTGTTATTCAGTTGTTCACTGTTCAGTTGTTAAATACTATTCTTCACGCAGATATATAGAAGTGTTCAAAGGATCAAAACGGGAAATGAGGGAAGAAATACCGCTGGACAGCAAGAAACCCAAGAAACTGGGATACGGAGGCGAACTTGCCTACATGTTAGTACCTCTCTTTAACAAACCCACAATTTGAGACACCTCCTAGAAGGTTTGAACAACCTGTAACGTATAAATGTTTCCAGAACCCCCCTCCAGTTTGAATTGTTGTACAAGTAGAGATCTGATATCTGGATAATATCTGATAGCTGTCTAATCAAGGAACTTACTGTCACAGGGGTGGGCCAAAAGATCATAAGGTATTTATGCGGGGTATCCCCTTCAAGGCATCACAAGGGGATGTCATCAAATTCTTCGCCCCCCTAATGCCCCGCCACATAGAAATCATAATTGGGGATGATGGGCGGCCCTCGGGGACTGCCTTCGCGTTCTTCCATTCTCACGAAGATGCGCTGCTGGCGATGGAGAAGGATAAAGAGACCATGGGTGGGTTTATTTGTTGCAAATATTTGTTGTCTCTTGTCCCGAATACTTTTAAAACCCTGTTTATCGACGAACCCCCCCCCCCCCCCCCCCCCCCCCCCCCCCCCCCCCGTTATTTCAAGTAACCATGGTGACACAATGACAACACTTAGTGATCTAAGTACTACCCTCTGTACTCCCTTGAATGTGTACCAATCAATCCTTAAACAAATTACAATCAGATTAATGATCATTAATTATGATTATGAACACATCTGGTTTCCCGGCGAAATTAATTTACTGAGCTTCACTGCACACCAAACATGTGAAATTTTACTATACGCTTCTGGTTGATTTCTGACTCCTTCATTTAACGAGTACACTCTTATTATCTGGACCCCCCCCCCCCCTCAAAATGTTACGATATCCTCTGTTTCAGATACTCGATATGTGGACCTTTTCCTCGAGTCCTCAGCTGAAAATGGCACCGTGGAAGACCCAGTGACGCAGGCACAAAAGCTGATAGCTCAAGCTCACGGGCTGCAACCGCCCGCTCCTCAGAACGAGTCTGCACATGATGTGACCTTGACTGCTCAGCATCTTATAGCACAAGCACGTGGTGTGCCCCCACCAGCTGAATTTCCGTCAGCAGGACAGCCTCCGTATCCAGGGGCACAACCCCCTGCCCCATATCCAGGGGCGCAACCCCCTCAACAGCACTATCCCTCTGCTTCACATGGCTCTGATCCTCCTGTTAGGAAACGACTCATGGCTGGTGCTGTCCGACCTATCGCTTCCTATGATTATAAATTAGGTAATATTATTGTCTTTGCCAATCATGACCAAAACGTAGATTTTGTTTTTCGATTTCAGATATCCGAAATCGAAAAACAGTTGATTCCTTATAATATACAATATTTTGTTGATCTGCATACTATGCGATTGTGTTGCACAGTAATCGAATTGACACATTTTTTTGTAAGACATTGTAGTTTTGATCGTTACTTCTCTGTTCATTAACTTTCACCGCAACATTTTGTTCAGCTGAGGATGAGTACTCAAACAAGCGACACAAGAGAGATAACGAACGAGGCGGTGGCCGTTTCAAGCGAGGATTCCAGGGCAACGGTGGTATCCCGGCGCGTGGAGGGTCCCAATCCGGAGGTAGAGGTATCCCGGCGCGGTCCAGGGGGAGTAGAGGAGGACCTCCACGAGGAGGGTTCCCTTCTCGTAGTACAGGGTTCAGTAGGAAGCCTATGAGTTTAATGGTCAGTGCGACGGACCCGAGTCCTGACACTGCTACTAACGGTGATAACACGGATGTGTATAATAGTGGTTACCCGGCTTTGCCTGCTGCTAATACCGCCTATCAGGACCCTAATTCTGTTTATCAAGATCCTAGTTCCGCTTATCAAGATCCCAATTATGGATACCAAAACCCTTACCCTGGATATCAAGGTCCTACCTCCAGTTACACAGACTCTTATGCTGGTTACCCAGGTTACCCTACTGCAAGTACTGGTTACTCAGCCCAGAGCTATCCAAACCCAGCTGCAATCTCAGCTACAGACTATTCCAGCTATTTGCCTGGTTCGGGCAATGGTATGCAGGGTATGCAGCAGTATTCGTACCAAAGCTAACGTTTATCTACTGAAGCAATGGTATGCAGGGTATGCAGCAGTATTCGTACCAAAGCTAACGTTTATCTACTGAAGCAATGGTATGCAGGGTATGCAGCAGTATTCGTACCAAAGCTAACGTTTACCTACTGAAGCAATGGTATGCAGGGTATGCAGCAGTATTCGTACCAAAGCTAACGTTTATCTACTGAAGCAATGGTATGCAGGGTATGCAGCAGTATTCGTACCAAAGCTAACGTTTATCTACTGAAGCAATGGTATGCAGGGTATGCAGCAGTATTCGTACCAAAGCTAACGTTTATCTACTGAAGCAAGATTTTTATCGTTTGTTCTACTGACCGTTAAACAGAATATTCCTTGTATTCTTTTGAAGACAAAATTGAATATTATTATATACAAAATATTATTACAGTTCATGTTATGTATTGTAAATGATATCATCGATTTTATGATATTAATGATTCATTCCGATCCAAAAAACCAGTCCATAGGACCAAAATAATTTTCTTTTGATTCGATAGAACCGAATTCGATATCATCCATCCTGGATAAATCGTTGGTAGCATCTGAGGTTTTTCTTGATTCTCTTATACTTAATAAAATCATTTTTATAATCTAAAACGATAGTTTACAACGATGATAATTTATTATGTCGTTAAAGTTCTGTCTCTTTTCGTTTGCTTATTGGCCACTTGGCCTGGCACCACATGCCCTAATGTCTGGTCTTGCCTGGTCTTGCCTGGTCTTGCCTGGTCACCCGTGAGTGTTGAGGACTGCTCTACTTCCAGTTATTGAAGTTCCAACCTCAACACCTAAGCATACTGTGTTAAGCATGCTAGCTAAAACATCCGGAACTGAATTCTTCCGGATGATAATGTTACCACCAAGATGACAATTTAGAGCATGATTCGCACCAAACATATTGCCCCATGGTCACTGTGTCCTGTGATGGTTAACGATCTAAGTCTTAATGTTGTAATTAATTATTAATTAATTGTCAATTAATTGTTTTTAAGCACATTTGAAATTTCCCCGAAGTCTGTGACACATAATTTTATAATTGCTTTAGACATTTTATTTCATGACTGTATATCTAAATTATTTGTCGAAGTTTGAGTTTAAACGGGCTCCCAAAATTCGATCAAATTATATTTTTATTCAAATTATTTGTTCAGCACCAAGTCTTATTTTAATTGATACGTGGACCTTCAGTATTGTCCACACTTAGCCCTTAGGGACCGTTTACATTACGTAACATTGTTACCTTCTCAGACCCCACTTTATACAGCTATTGTGAAAAATAACACTAGCGTAAGTTGAACCAAACCCCTTGCCTCTAGGCTGCCTCATGCAAAGTAATATAATACCTTGTAGAGATCCGTACAGTACTCTAAATTGCGTTAATTCTCTGCAATTGTGGTAGAGGCCGTCTACTGGTCCCATGATACATCTGCACTGTGACTTGATCACATTGAGATTTAAACTTGAATTTTGAATGATCGGGCGATTGTTTATCAGCTGCACATTTTTAAACATTTATCATATTTTCTAAAAGAAGTAAAAGATAAAATGTACAATATTTAATATCATTTTTTCTAGAAGAATTAGCAGAGTTAAAGTTTAAACTGACCTGGAGTTACTTCCCTAGCCATGAGTCTGGAACTGAGAGTGAAGCGGCGGGTACCGGAAGCTCAACTTCCCACCCGGACCTCGGAAGGAGCTGCAGGGTACGACCTCTACAGCTGCCAGGACTGTCTTATTCCTGCTCAAGGCAAGGTTTGTGACCGATCATCTTACTTTATCAGCTGGCGGGTGTCCATCTTTGATTTTATATTTTATACATAATATGTTATACATATATTTTATATGTATAATGTATTATTTACTATAATTATAAATATAGAGTATAGACGACTTAAGATATATTAGCCCTTTTCCCCTTCTCCATTTATATACCGAATTATTCCCAATCGTAATCTAGAAAAGGTGCGCACAGTTCGACAATTTACATTATAAGACAGCCTTACTTAGGGGGTTATACTAACAGAGTGGCAATGTCCGCGCTAAACGTCGCACATTACTGATAAACAACCCTACCTCCGCGGAGGTCTGTAACTCCGTACCTCTTAAGGCTAGAAATTAGAAATATTACAGTTTTAGCCGCACAAGATTAAAACATAATCCACATTGCTGTGATCCAGCTGGCTTTTAATTTTGAGTAACTATTTAATCTTTATCGGACTTTGTTTGAATCAATTGGACGCTGGAGGCCTACAAATAAAGTCTCGACAAAGTAGTTAAATTGAATACATCAAATGAATGCCTTCGGACATTCATTTTAATGTCGGTTTAAAATTATGTCCGTTCAAACAACGTCCGATAAGGTAAGGTCGGATATATGTCCGATATATTAATATAGACACTGCACTGTCAGGCTATTGTAAAAACGGGTATCTCTGTTGCTCTCCCGGACGGTTGTTACGGCAGAATAGCTCCCAGGTCCGGACTGGCAGCCAGACACCACATCGATATTGGAGCTGGGGTCGTCGACAAGGACTACAGAGGTAAGGAGACACGTGGTATGACACGTGGTATTACACGTGGTATGACACGTGGTATTACACGTGGTATTACACGTGGTATTACACGTGATATTACACGTGGTATGACACGTGGTATTACACGTGGTATCACACGTGGTATCACACGTGGTATGACACGTGGTATTACACGTGGTATGACACGTGGTATTACACGTGGTATCACACGTGGTATGACACGTGGTATTACACGTGGTATCACACGTGGTATCACACGTGGTATGACACGTGGTATGACACGTGGTATTACACGTGGTATGACACGTGGTATTACACGTGGTATTACACGTGGTATGACACGTGGTATGACACGTGGTATTACACGTGGTATTACACGTGGTATTACACGTGGTATGACACGTGGTATGACACGTGGTATCACACGTGGTATCACACGTGGTATCACACGTGGTATTACACGTGGTATCACACGTGGTATCACACGTGGTTATATTTTACCTATTCTGCGGTTGTTAACTGTTATAATTGAGGTCATGTGATTCTCTAATTGAGTGACTAAAGAGAAGTGACCCCCCCCCCCTAAAGAGAAGTGACCCCCCCCCCTCTAAAGAGAAGTGACCCCCACCCCCCCCCCCCCCCCCTCTAAAGAGAAGTGACCCCCACCCCCCCCCCCCCTAAAGAGAAGTGACCCCCCCCCCCCTAAAGAGAAGTGACCCCCCCCCCCCTCTAAAGAGAAGTGACCCCCACCCCCCCCCCTCTAAAGAGAAGTGACCCCCACCCCCCCCCCCCCCCCCCTAAAGAGAAGTGACCCCCCCCCCCCCCCTCCAAAGAGAAGTACAAACAAGTGTCATGAGACTGGTTATAATCATATTATGTTGATTTATTCACATTTTCAAAATAATAAAAAATTTAAAAACCTTAATTAATAACGTTGACCCATTGAACTAAATGTTTAAATTGTAACGAGGTTGATAACAAACCTAAAATAATTGTACACAAAAAATGAGTAGTGGGTACGTCCCGTTATATACTGAATACTGATATACATCATGTAACTAGCAAGTAATCGTATTAGAGGGTATTAGACCATTAGGATAATTATAAACATTTTGTAAATCGGTAATTTAAGTAAATTTCTGTTATGAAATCGAACAAATATTACGAAATCATCCTGAACCTAGCTAATCTAACTTATAATCCCAGAATGTGTGTCTGTCTGTCTGTTTGTAATTTCCGAGCGGCTTAATCAAGAAAACGGTAAGAGTTGCGGGACTGATTTTTTCGGTAAAGTGCCGACAAAACTCTGACGAAGTTAAATGATAAAGGTTTTTTAAATCGGTCGTTGGTAAGTGGTTTAATTGATGGTTTTGTACCACAAATGTAGTTTAGATAAACCTTATCAGGAAATTTGAACCACTATTATTAGGCGAAGGTGTGATATGTTACTTCAGAGGAGGTTTACCGGACATGTAAACCTAACACTCTCTGTACAGGTGAGGTAGGGGTGGTGATGTTCAACCTAACACTCTCTGTACAGGTGAGGTAGGGGTGGTGATGTTCAACCTAACACTCTCTGTACAGGTGAGGTAGGGGTGGTGATGTTCAACCTAACACTCTCTGTACAGGTGAGGTAGGGGTGGTGATGTTTAACCTAACACTCTCTGTACAGGTGAGGTAGGGGTGGTGATGTTCAACCTAACACTCTCTGTACAGGTGAGGTAGGGGTGGTGATGTTCAACCTAACACTCTCTGTACAGGTGAGGTAGGGGTGGTGATGTTCAACCTAACACTCTCTGTACAGGTGAGGTAAGGGTGGTGATGTTCAACCTAACACTCTCTGTACAGGTGAGGTAGGGGTGGTGATGTTCAACCTAACACTCTCTGTACAGGTGAGGTAGGGGTGGTGATGTTCAACCTAACACTCTCTGTACAGGTGAGGTAGGGGTGGTGATGTTCAACCTAACACTCTCTGTACAGGTGAGGTAAGGGTGGTGATGTTCAACCTAACACTCTCTGTACAGGTGAGGTAGGGGTGGTGATGTTCAACTTGGCTCAGACTGATTACCAGGTGACGCGTGGTGACAGGATTGCTCAGTTAGTTTTGGAGAGGATACTCACTCCACCTGTTCTAGAGGTTTCAATTGAAAATCATCTTGTTTATTTGTTATGTGTAGTTTGATTGATTCAGGTGTGTTATCACTGTAATTAATAATAATAGCGTCTTATCGGATTTGTGTGTGTTAGGGTCTAGGGACCTTTCATATACATTACGTAAGCCATGGGCCAGGGGAGCGGGTCTCGTGTTACTTATAAGAAGTCAGCCTTGTTTATCACGTTATATTGTCCAGGTGGAGGATTTAGATTCAACTGAGCGAGGCGAGGGAGGGTTTGGTAGCACCGGTTACCATAGCAACAACCTTGGTAACTCTGAAAAACCTGTTACCAACGGTAAACGTGGCAATATAGAGCCTGACGAAAACCAGGTCAAGAAAACGAATGTTTCTGGCAGCTGAGATGATATATTTTTGGCTTGTGCTATTTATCATTATATATCTTGTTTAAAATATCAATAAAAATATCGATAAAAACTTTCAGTTTAATTCTAATATTGAATTTTGGATTTACCTTTTTTGTCGAACTCGTGGATCCTTTTTTCTTAGCTGTTCTCACATTTCATACATAGTATGTATTTTAATATCGTTTAATCAAAGCATTTTTAATTATTTATACAATTGTTTATTGGCCTTTATTTGTTATTTGTAATACAACATTTCTTACCATTATCAATTTATTTCAATATTTCAAACATCCACGTTGGTGTCATTACTCTTATTTAAGTCTTTAAACCTCAAGTAAACCACCTTTGGACAATAACTGGGCTGGTTAAAACTAGTGACATTTGGAGGCTATTCATTCTCCAATATACAGCATTTATTACAAGGAGCTGCTATTCATTTTTCCTGAAGATGCGATTTTATGCTATTAATTATCACAAAATCCTATCTTAAAATAACAAGAAATGAACTTAAAATATTCAGGACCATGACTGATCGCTGACACCCTACACTTAACCAACAGCGTCATCTTAACCTGCAGTAGTTGATCAGTTCTGACATTCCAGACATTCCTGTAGCACGGTTACCATAGCAACCCTGTAATGCCGCTATCCGCTGCCCTTCTTCAGAGACTGAAAGCTAAGGGTGTCAAGTCCGTCGTTGGTAGGAGTTTATTTTCATTGTTTTTCTTCGATGTGTTTTGTAATTTCAGCTGCTCTTTCTGTTCTGTGTTGCTACGCGACGTATTTAACAATTCTTACTGATTATGGAATTTTATGGAATTTTATGGAATCTTCTATAAAAGTTTATCGAAAACATTTTACGTTTCGGTAAAGTAAAATATTTCAGAGGAGGAACCACAGGATGACGGGTGGGAATGTCCGAACATTTGGAACAAGTTTCACTCTTGTAGCGACTGGTGCAAAAATAACTGGAAATCCAAGAACCAAAAACAGGTATTTAACTAGAAGTTGCTGTAGATTTGGTGGGGAGGTGGGGCATATTTGTTGACACATGTCAGCAATTAACCAATCACCTTCAACTATTGATCAATCAAATCTTATAATCACCTCTCCACCAGAATCCACATCTATTACCAATTAATATTTTACACTGCTATTAGATTCATGCTTATGTTATCATATTATCTAAACACTAGTGTAACCCGTACCGGGGGGAATGCAACGTCAATTAATGTCAGTATTCCATGAAAACCCCAAACTGACATTGACATTAATTGACATTAATTGACATTAATTGACATTAATTGACATTAATTGACATTAATTGACATTAATTGACATTAATTTGTCTTGAAATTTGAGATTATCATTATTCGATAAATATTCAAGATATTCACGTCTATGTAAGTTAGACCGGTTCAAAAAAACAAAATGTCCTTGAATAATTAGGGTAAGGCACGTAATTTTGTCAGGGTACCTAATTTTGTCATTTTGCTCTTAAAAACTGCCTCGGCTCGGAATTTCAGCTTGAAAGAAAAGGTTTGTGTATAAAAAGAAAGCTTAGACTTTGCTGAAACTGCTCCTACAAAGTTTAAGTTTCTAGCTCTTTTGCATCTGTGTCAAAAATGAAGGCGAAACTGTTAACCCGAAAAATAAATAAGATCCTTAAGGTTTTCTTAAGGAATTTTCAAAATTTTGATTTATTGCTATTTCAAAAGTAATTGAGCTAGCTTCATGCCATTGCATATTTCAAATATCTTCTACAGCAGAAGTATACGTACAAATTTTCAAGTCTCTAGCGCAATTATTGTTCAAGTTACAGAGGGTGACAAAATTAGGTTCGATTTTGCCAAAAGTACCTAATTTTGTCAAAAAAATCGACCTTTCTCAAATTTCTTGTAAATCACAGATTGTGTTGAAAATGGCCTTATTCAACTATTCTGAAGTTTTTTTGCCCATAGGATATGTATAAGGCACTTATAATAGCATAACACTTATAATAGCATATTTTCGCCGAGGTGGATAATCTGATTTTTTCAATCTAAAATGACTAAAAAAATATTTGATGAAATTACTAAGCAAGTGATCTATCTACAGACATGAAAATTTCAACCTAGACCTAGAACCAATCGTTTTTCAAGATACCAGTGGTTTCAGGGGCATTTGGGGGCTATTTTCTAAGATTAGATACCCAAAAAGTGTCATCTTTTCATCAAGCTACAAAACTATGAAAACATCATATCTTTGGGATTTTTGAGGTCAATGTTGGTAAAAAACGCTCGAATGATGCATCCAGGTAGTCTAAAATACCGAGAAACGGTTACTTTTTGCACAATCTTCAAGTGACAAAATTAGGTTCGGGGTGACAAAATTAAGTAAAGTCACCTAATTTTGTCATTTTTTCAAAATAATTTTTTTGAACATCTTCAACCCCAGCAATTTCGATCATTTTTGTGTTAGAACTTGCCTAGACTGTCTACTATAACATGGTGGAGGTTTCATCTAAATCGGAATTTCAGACGAGGTTAAAACCCATGGTTTATATCAGGCAGTCGGAAAATTGCCAAAAAATGACAAAATTATGTGCTTTACCCTATGAGTATGTTCTTATCTGTTGATCCTTAGGTTCAAAGACCACCAAAAAAAATTTCAGCTTCCAACTCTTCCATCTTCGGTCCCCACCGACCACGCCCATATTTTATTGGTTTCTTATACAGGTAAAATATCTAGAATCGGCTTTTTTAGTATGAAGGAGTAATTTTAGCTGTTTAAGATTCGTTATTCAAACATAAATGTCATGAAGGCATTTCGTTTCATGTGGGTTTTAAGTTCTGATGATGTTGAGAACCACGCCCTTGGATGGCCACGCCCATTTAAGAAAAATAAATTTCGGAAAACCGTATTATTTTAGTTTTCTATAGATTACTACTAGCTAAAGATGTAACCACTAGCTAAAGATGTAACCACTTCAGCTGGTAATAGAAGAGATATTTGATAAGATACCGACCTGTTGGAGACTAGTTCCGGACGAGGAGACGGGTTACTGTTACTTCTGGAACACTAACACTAACGTAGTACAGTGGAGGTGCCCTGTTTTGCTCGACAGTAAGTGTTCTTTGATTTGGGATTTAAATTATCATTAATGTTATTAATTTTCATTACATGATAAAATTTGTGTGACGACTGACGAGGGTATTGGTTTAAAAAGTCCGTGGTGTTACCTCTTATCCTCAGAGGATGCAGCTAAGTCAGCACCAGCTTACCAGCTGGAGGCAAGTGATAAACCACGTGATACGCTGAGCGACATCCCACGTGACAATGCACGTGCTCCCCCGCCTCATTTACAGATGCCAACTGTTGACGAGGTTCCCACACCTCAGGTAGGAACACTGTGTCTTTAGTTCGGTAGGGACGATGACCCATTATCTCAGAGTAATGGGTATTATCTAAAATACCCATTTGTATTTTAAATAAAAATGTTATTTCTACGATCTTAAAGTATATAAGTCTGTAACTAACTCGTAATAAAGACCCAGGGTCGTAAGGAACAGCGGAAGACAGAGTCGAGACGTTACAAGCCGCCTAGAGGAGAGGACGAGATAGATCCTATGGACCCTTCTTCCTACTCAGACGCTCCTAAGTAAATTAAGAGCAATTTAATGGCGTGTATTTCAGAATCGCTTATAATACTGTTCGGCACTAGAAGTTGGTTTTAAAAGTGACAAACTATTTAAACTCCTCTAATTTGACAACTGATAACACCTGTTTTAAAGGGGAGACTGGGGACGGGGGCTACCAAAGCAAGGTGACGCTAAGACAGGGGTAGACGTGACGGCTAATGGGCCCCTATTCCAACAGAGGCCCTACCCTGCTCCTGGGGCCATACTGAGGATGAACGCTGCTAACAGAGCCCCGGAGGAGGAGGAAGAGGAAAGCAGGGAGATGGACTGAGGGGAGGATTAATTTTACTATTATTGATTATTTAATTCAGCAGCTCAAGTTAAAGAATTTGATTGATGTCGGATGATTGACGAGTTTTCAGAGTTATCCCTTGTACAATCTTGAATTCTCGACGACCCAGTGACTTGAATTTTTTACGGAATTTGTTTTTCATTCCCATATTTACATAATGGTAATGTTATCTGAACATTTTAAAGCCATATCACCAGTTCTGTTATTCCAGTAATTTGTAACACTATAGCCTTATATCAATATTTATTTGATGCCTTATCTATTCCAATTTGTGATGATTAACTCTTTTTTATTCCGCTGTTGCAAATTAGAATTATATATTTTTCTATTTCTTACTGCTTTACGGGAAACCGATTCGATTGAATTTATTGTATGTGAAATGTTGATTGTTATCCTTAATTCAATTATTGTGTTAGGTATAAATTTAAAATGGGTGGTCGAGATGGTGGTAAAAAGAAACCTCTGAAGGCGCCCAAGAAGCAAGGTATTCTTCTCAATCAGTCACATTAGTCATTATGTTTTGTATAAAATTTTTGATGTATATATTCCTTTTTCTTACAACGTTCAAAATCTTCAAAATAAAGTGCAAAAAATTAATCGATAAGAGTGAAATTACATAATAGTATGAGAAATAGAATAATAGTTGAGAAAATCTTTCCATCAGGTAAAGAGCTGGATGAAGATGACTTGGCTCTTAAACAGAAGGCTAAGGATGATGCTAAAGCTCTGAAGGATATGCAGGCAAAGGCCAAAGGAAAGGGTCCCCTTGCTACCGGTGGAATAAAGAAATCCGGGGGAAAGAAATAATTTTTAGCTGTTACGAAATTGTGTTCGGATAAAAAATGCCCAGGCCAACAGGAATCTTTTTAGACTTTCGTGTTTTATCAGGAAAACGATAACTCTTATTCTTAACTTAACCACTATTTTTATTTCGTTACTAAAGATTCAAATAGTGCATATTGGCAAACGAAAATATTTCGAGAGTGGAATAAATGTGTCATTGATCATCAAGCTAATGCTTTAAAATGTTGGGGGTAAAATTGAAATTGAATCAGCTGTTCTGAGTAATTTTATTTGTTTGATTAAATCGTTGTCTTATGTCTTATTTTATATATCCATGATCCAAACTGTATTAAATAAGCAAGCGCTAATTACTGCACAAAAGTCTACCAACTAGATAATGGATAAGACTAGTGTGTAACCAGCCAGCTGTCTAAGAATTATTATTTGGCATTGTTGTTCACATAACCATGAGTCTTCGCGTACTACGTGACGCGCTTGTTTCACAAGTAAGCAAGTATTTCCCGTGCTGCCTTCGGCGGGCGCGAGGGCTCTGGTTAGACTTAGAGCAAGCAATGAAGCGCTGTACGAGTCCCCTTATATTACTTGTATATATTATATTACTTGTAATACTGCGCTTTGTAATATAGTAATACCTTACATAGCTTGCTATAGACTAGTCTCCTGCTTGCTCCTCTTTTGTATCACGTCGTGACCCCCATTGTCGTTTCACTAAGTGTAGCGTTTCTCTACGATACAGGGGGAGCCGCGCACTCGTGTTAGCATATTTAGCGACGTAATATTTGATGTCAAGTTCGCCTAAATCAATGTGTTACCAATTTAACATCTTTCATGCAATTTGAATTAGTTCAGAATAAAGTTTATAAGAATGGAAATACTTTGAGCTTTACTAATAGAAAGTTTCACAATGTTCTAGAGTCTACACCATCCATTTAAACAACAAAAGGATGCTACATATCACAGAATGACTTGATTTTCCGTTAAAAGTAGCCATTTTATATCTTCATGCCCTTATAAAATGGGCTCAGCGCCACGCCCAAAATGGTTTTTGGCGAATTTCTCGAAAAGTAAGGATTTTAGGCCATGTCAATGTGTTGATCAATAACTTCTATATAAACATGCATATGCGGCTTCGTTTAAGCCTATTATGAAGTCTCTACGACCTTCAGAAGCAAAGGGTCAGTTACATTATTAGGTCAATATGGGCGTGGCCCTCCTGGGTTTTCCCCACGGTAATAAAAATGTCTCCAACCGAAAATCGTTTATTCATACCTTTGGGAAAGTCTGTTTAAAGTTTCGTGAGTATCTGAAGATTTGCAGATGCATTTCCATAAATGACTGGACTATTGCCAGCATCGATGATCGAGTATGACACAGCGCGCAACTATTAACTGGAAGTCACACCGTGCACGAGCGACTTGAAGCTCGTGCACGCCACCGACTACACATACTATGTCATATGTGCATCCTTGATCATATCTTGTAGCACGATGCACCACTGGGCCACGCCGAGCTGCGAAGGATTGGCATCAGACCAGTGGCGTAACGTTAGTGGCTGATTTAACTTGGCGCCCCCCGGCGGCTCGAAAAAGTCGCCCAAATTTTTTGTGTCCCTAAAAGAAAAGAAAAGTCGGGAACCTTTTTTTTGGCGCCCCCTACAGCTTTTTGCGCCCCTGGAGCAAAAAAGGACCCCAACAATTTTGTTCACACCGACTGAGCGCTAAATTGGACAGGGGAATACACCAATAAGGCGTTATTTTCAGTGAGAGGTCATAAAATTCAAGAAAAAAAACCTAGGGGTGACTTTTCGTTGAGAAAGGGCGCCTTTTTGGCGCCCCCTGAGGTTGGCCGGGGCAGCGTTACGCCACTGCATCAGACATCGTCAATCAACATCCTATCAAAACGGCCTCGTATGTAGTTAAAATATATCAGGTAGTTAAAATATATTAGGTAGTTAAAATATATCAGACCAAAGACGACTCAGAATCATTTCAATTGTAGGTTTACAACCTACCAGGACGCGCGCCGAGTTGGACTCGTCGACGGTCCTGTATATGGAACAGATATTGCATTGATACATGTTTCGGCATGCGCGCGCTTCGCGCGCGAAAAGTGGCATGCAACGTATGTCAAAACAGATATTTTAAGAGTATCACCCGTTAATCATTTCAAGCGTGATAACGCGCCGCGCGCACCATTTCCGCCAACCTAACTACTAACAGAAGTAGATTATGTAAGCTTTACACTGCTTGCGCGTTCCATCCGGTACAAGGTCGGTGAAGAGATCCAAGTTTTATTTACTTTTTGCGGTTAGGCTCATGCAATAAAATCAATAGAAACAAATCCCTTCGCTATAATAACTCTATTACAGAAAACTATATCGATTATTTACATTCCAAGCTCGTATAGCAGATGTCACATATTATTATAAGTTATTACACAATGAAAATACACAACATCCGAATGAATAAGTGTAAAATTCAGGAGAAATGAAAATCTTTGCCTCCTCGGCTTTGCCTTATCGGCTTACTTCAAAAACGTATCACCGGAAAAGTAGACAATAATACAATCTTCCTCCCAGCACAACGCTCATCTACGTAAATTTAACGAGAGTGACAAAAACAGAGGTAAAAATTAGCCGTCAAGGGAAAAAGATAAAGTTAAAGGATCCCTCAAGATCAGCCCTTCCTAAAGAGCCCGCCCAAAATGTATCACGTGAGTATTGTAACTATCTACATTCTACAGCCATTAGCAATTAAATTTGCGATCGAAATTCGAAAAGTTTGTAAAACTTTGGGCGATCAATTTAGTAAAGGATTAGAAACTCGTTAACTCACTAAATTTCAAACTCACAAACTCGTTAACTTTATAGCACAGTAACTCGACTACTTACGCCAAAATAAACAAGGAGCAGATTAGAGAGGACTAAATTTGAAGCTTCTGAAAGTTCATACAAACAAAACACTTTACAATAACAAATAATTCAGAATAGATCGGAGGTTACCTTATTTGGGCATCACGTTGGGGGAGGTTGCTCAGTTATGAAATGAAAATAAATTTTAGAAAACCTCAATACACCGGTCATATTTTGACAGAGGCCAAGTTTTTGGGTTAATATAAGCACATAAACACGTTACGTGTGTAAAGAATGAAAGTATTTGAATGGTAAGAACTGCTCTATCTTTGTAGTTGCAAACTCACAACTTATCTCTTTAGCTGTATCTACTCTTGATACTATGAAAATGAAGTTCACAACTATTTACCTGTCATTATATACTACCACAGCTACCGTCGTATCTACTGTTAAAATACAATCCACAGGAAGAATTCAATAACACATGTCTTAATGCTGCTAGCGATTGTGCGTTTTAACAGTAGATAAGACACAACGGTCAAGATGAAAAAAGGATTCAACACGACGACAGTTTCTATCCTCAAAGGTTGATCATCACATTTACTGTCTCAAAACTAATTCACCAAATAAGGACATATCACGTGACCAACTAATTGACCATATAAGGGCATGTCACAGTATCACGTGACCAACTAATTGACCATATAAGGGCATGTCACAGTATCACGTGACCAACTAATTGACCATATAAGGGCATGTCACCCTATATATCTCCAACCTCCAGCTCAGTAGAGTTGAGAAGAGCTGGGTAGTCTATAACTGGAGAGGAGGCGGACTGTTTCAGCGAGCTCTTGGTAGGAACTTTAGTGCTGGGTCGTAGGATACCGTCTGTAGATCCCTCAAATACTTCAGGCTGCAAGGGAATGTCAGATTAGATATATCTTATTTCTTAGTCTGTTTAAGGTATATACTCATTACTCCCCCACTTCCCCCACTTCCCGTCCTAATTCTTAATGATTCTCGATTGATTTAGCTTGTAGTTGACAAGACGTCAGGCAAATGTTGACAAATACCAGCGGTAATGTTGACACACGTGATGATCACAATATAAGAAGATGTTTTAGAATGTATATTCACAAATACATGACTCCCTGTATAATTTACAAGTTCCTAGAGCACGCTAAAGACCTGGACAGCTCACAGAGATAACACACACACACACACTCTCTCTATCTCTCTCTCTCTCTCTCTCTCTATCTCTCTCTCTCTCTCTCTCTCTCTCTCTCTCTCTCTCTCTCTCTCTCTCTCTCTCTCTCTCTCTCTCTCTCTCTCTCTCTCTCTCTCTCTCTCTCTCTCTCTCTCTCTCTCTCTCTCTCTCTCTCTCTCTCTCTCTCTCTCTCTCTCTCTCTCTCTCTCTCTCTCTCTCTCTCTCTCTCTCTCTCTCTCTCTCTCTCTCTCTCTCTCTCTCTCTCTCTCTCTCTCTCTCTCTCTCTCTCTCTCTCTCTCTCTCTCTCTCTCTCTCTCTCTCTCTCTCTCTCTCTCTCTCTCTCTCTCTCTCTCTCTCTCTCTAGAAAACACACTCCGGCGAGTGTGTTGGCCACTGTGAGCTGTTAGAATTAAATAGACATGTACAACTTATAATACGCAAAACTATATAAGGGGCCCAGACCTATAATTGACGCATAATCTTAATTCCAATAACTACGCTTCTAAATCCACATTAGTCAGAGACTTGCTTAAATATGTGTTATTACGGATATGTTAAGTAATATACCCTTACATTATATAATGTTATAATGTTAAATTAAACCTTATAACTTACCGTAACTTCTTAAAGTTCTTATATTACGAATACTTACTATCATATTAGTTATATTACGAATACTTACTATTATATTAGAGGTGCAACACGTATAACTCTGCTTACTGCTTTACTGGTCACTACGAATACTCTATTATATTAGAGGTGCTATAGTATAATATAGTATAATATATAGCATATTATAATAGTCCTATGTAACAAGTCCTAACAGTGTCCAATTAATCAACACAGCGACACATAAAGCCTTTGTTAAGATGTTGTTATACGATTCTCGCCTTCTCTTTTCTCTAGACTAATAGGCTGTAATATTCTTATTTCTTGTGTTATATCAAGGGGGAGTTAAAGGGGATATTTTACTAGTTATCAACAAGTAAACTGTGTGGCGTATATATTATAAATATCTCCGGGATTTCGACGCGGGATCATATTATCACTCAGCCCGGCCCGCTGTTAGATAAACATCTCAAGGTGATATCATCCCGCCCCGGAAATTTGTATAAACCCGGCCCGCTTTTTAGTCGTAACTGATGTTTATGATTCAATTCTCCGACTTACAATAATCAATGATACTGCTGATTAGAACTCGATAATAGTAGAACAGTTAGACGCGCGATCACGTGGGCGCGTCACGTGCGTACCACGTGCCACCAATAGCATACGCCGAGTCTATACCACGTGACACGAAAGCGCACCACGTGAAATGAAACATCGTAACCGTCCACTTCTTTTACACGCAAATTCCTGGGAAAGTTGCCAAAGCAGCTAATTCTTGGAATTTCTCCAACGCGTGGCGTGAGAAGTTGGCGACTAGCCAGCTACCCTTGTCCGTGCCCTAAAATAGTATTGTTTTGCTTGCTCTCCTTCCAGCTCTTGTTCCTGCTAACGTTCAAGCTATTGCTCCACTATGACAGATCGGTTTGACATTCAGATTGATGAACTGCTTTTATCACTCTCTTCTAAAGTATAAATCCCTTGTCGAAATCGCCGGAGATAATTATAATCCATAAACACTTCACGCTCAGGGCTAAATAAATGTAATCCCTCAGCTGGCGCTTCGGGATTACATATTAACACAAAACTCGTGCGCTGCGCGCACTCGTATGTGTTTATCAGATCATCCCGCTAGCGCGGGATGATCTGTTATATAAACCCTTTGCGTGGCGGGTTTATGTTATTATAATATATAAAACAGTGTTATTAGGTAAAAATGTAAGCTAGGTGAAAGAGCAGGGCTATTTAATATATTCACAGTGCAAAGTGCAGGGCTAGTTAATATATTCACAGTGCAGAGTGCAGGGCTAGTTAATGAGTTTTGCGCTACGATCGATATATTATAAAGTTATAACGCTATCGATATATTATAACGCTCGGAGCACAGCACTATTACACTATTACAAGCTCACAGGGCAACTATAATGTTCAATCTGCTGGATTCATCATATTTGGAAGTTTCTTCCATGATGTTCCATGATGTTCTTTTAAGGTGTTCGACAGAAAGGTGTTAGCAGAAAGTCCCAGGTGAATGTGGAAATGTCATTATTCTTTAAACACTTCTTTCTTTAGGAAAGCTGGTCATAAAAAGATCCCTCCCTAGTGCACCCAAATATAAACCCGGTAACCTTGCGACGAAATCTCAGAAAAAGGAAAGAGAAATAGTTAAGAAATTACTGACCTCGGCCGGATCATCCTCTCCAATACTGCCACTGGAGCTGTTCTCTGAGATACTTAGCAGCTTTGCTGCAGGGGCTCCAGCTTTCCTCAACATCCAGCTTCCCCGTTTAATCTTGGAACTGGTATGCGCGTAGATCTGCCCAAAAGTTGCGGTGAATAAATGTGAAAATATGGAGTCATTAACTTAATATTTAGAGTTTAGTTAAGTGGTAGCAGATCATAAAACTGGGCAGTAATATTAAACTAAAAGGTAATAACCACTGTGTGGTTACTATGTTACTTTGTTAAACGATTGAGAAAGTTGCAGGACGAGTGTGCAGCCATTTATTAATTTAAATGTCATGAATAAATATGTCTAATAAATATTATGTCTTATAAATTAGTCGAAGTAAGTAGTACTTACGCAGACTTGTGTTAGAACTACTTTATCAATACAATGAGTTACACAAGTTAAATAAGCAGTGAGTTGAACCTTCAAATAGCTTATATTAATATCATTAATATTCAACTTATGAGCCAAATTGTTTCACCTTGTCAAACTGACAAGGTAGTTGTTTTCAGGTATACGGTTAATTTTAGAGTTTACCTTTACTTACCTTGAATGGTATGTTTAATGACAATTTATGTTATTTCTTATATTCAAATTGGCTGTGGCAATCATCAAAGTAACCCATTTAGTTTAATATTGATTAATGATCTTGAGAAATTCAACTTTAATTAATATCCTTGTAAGAGACAAATGGCGAGAACTCGTAGAATAGGTTCTTCAGGGATATATAGCTATTTATTTACACATTAATTTGTACAATCCAGCCTAGGGAAGAAGGAAGGAAAATAATAAATAAGGGAGAAGCTAACTAACATGTTGTAACATTCTCTGTTTCTCTAGAAGAGTGTCGTTGTACAGCTCCCTATATTCCCTCAGTAACCACAAGTTATGACTGTAGTTCTGCAATGCTTTCTGCATCTTCTTACCAGCGTTACCCTCCACAAACTCCATCAGTTCCTTCTGCGAATTCAACTATTTAATTAACTTATTAATTAACTAATTAATTAATATTATCTGGGTAGAGATTGTTGAGGGAATGAACTATTTTAACCGCGTTAAAACGTGCTTAACTGCATTGTTGTTCGGACTGTTCAGAGATAACACTTCTTTGATGAATTGGACTGGAACATATAGACAGGGTCTCAGAAAGCATTGAGGAGGAGGGATAAAAAAGTGAAAATGATTAATGAAAACTTTGGTGCAATGCTGAAAAACGCAAAGAAAGAAATATTCAATAAGTTCAGCGTTATGAAACGTGATTCTAGTGACTGCATAGTACGTAGGTACTTCGATAAAACCAAATTACAGGGTGGCCCAAAAGTGACTACCCACACGCAACCTCTTAATAACTAACGTAATTCGTCTCCAAATTGCACCAAAATTTCAGAGATTATAGATATGGGTCAAACTTAGATTTCCTGAAAGTTTCGTAAGCCACGCCCAATTACAGTGGGCGTGGCGTGACACTCCCTCTTTTTCGCTATTTTCGTCATAAAATGAGAACGCTTTGAGTTATTAAAAGGTTGCGTGTGGGTAGTCACTTTTGGGCCACCCTGTAGTATATAAAACTTTGATGTGCTTTAAAAGACATAAAAAGGTAGAAACTTCGCGCTCACGTCATGATTACGTGGTCTACCCGGAACTTCAATATCCGCTTCAGTCTATTTGGATTTAATTAGATCGACCACTTAAGTGCACTTACTATTTAATAGTGTAATATTCAGTATTAAACTTATTAATGTTAATGAATGATATTGATATTGCTAATTAAATGATAGCTTACCCGGTACATATCGAAGTTTGTAATGAGAGAGGCTACTTTTTCCAGAGCTGAGTCACCCTCCGTCTGAAAGAAAATGGGGGTTCATTTTCATTTTTAGCATTTTTTCCATCAACCTTGCACAACTTCATGTCCAGTTCATGCCCAGGTTAGTGTTACTAGCACAGGACCTGTGACAGGACCAATATTAATGGACGTTGACTAGAGCTATGGAGGGGACACTGAGGACACGGAGGACACTGAGTACACGGACAAAAGAGTAACCTCCACAATCTCTCATTAAACCAGACAATACCATTCCAGTCCGAGCAACAAACCATGATTTATAATAAAAAGGAAGCTAAGTAAAATGTTAATACCTGTTTACAATGTCAATACAGTAAAATGTTAATACCTGCATTTGGTGGATGGAGTCGGTCATATTATCAAAAGCTTGTATTGCTTTCTGCACAGCTGCCACCTGGACTACCCCAGATACAGATAACTTGGGGACACCTCGACTTTCGTCCTCACTGAGGATTGTTGGGAATGTGAAAGTGGAACCACGTGGTGCCCAAATAAGGAGTGACAAAGCAGAACAGTGTGAGAGATATTATGCTGTTATACTTTCGTATTTTACTAAGTCTGTTGTCATTAAAAGTGGGCGTTGGCTAATTAAATCTCAGTTCCAACAGACAGACTATCTAGTAAAGACAGAGATTTGATTTCGACTTAATTGGTTACTAATTGTAATTACTAATTGTAATTTTGTCTAATGCTCGATGTCTTAGAGCTAGTATCTTAGACCCTAGCTAGTAGCTAGACAAACCGTCCGTCATTCGGAACACGTCTCAAAATGTCACAAGTGCTGACGATTTGTAGTTACGACAAGTAAGGTATAATATATATATAATAAGTATAACACTTATATAAGTAACGATAAGTAAGGTATTTCAAGCATTCCGCGTGAAACCAGTTAACCCTAATATTGTATGCAGCGTTAACGTAATTCAGATTCAACTTCAGAGCAGTATGCTATTTGTACCTAGAAGTATGCGCCGATACACCGCATTTAGTGAAGTGTCTGTAGATTATTATATTACCTTCCATTAACTTGACTACCGTCTGGAAAGTAATTTAATTTGGTCACTGGCCAGAAATTACTTAGTTATATTTGAACAGACTGAGAGAGGGAAGGAGGGAGGGAAAGAGGGAGGGAGGGAGGGAGGGAGGGAGGGAGGGAGGGAGGGAGGGAGGGAGGGAGGGAGGGATGGAGGGAAGGATGGAGGGAAGGGGGGAAGGAAGGAGGGAGGGAGGGAGGGAGGGAGGGAGGGAGGGGGGGAGGGAGGGAGGGAAGGAGGGAGGGAGGGAGGGAGGGAGGGAGGGAGGGAGGGAAGGAGGGAGGGAAGGAGGGAGGGAGGGAGGGAGGGAGGGAGGGAGGGAGGGAGGGAATGGAGGGAGGGAGGGAATGGAGGGAGGGAGGGAATGGAGGGAGGGAGGGAGGGAGGGAGGGAGGGAGGGAGGGAGGGAGGGAGGGAGGGAGGGAAGGAGGGGTTTAGTAACTCACCTGATAGAAAGAGAACAGTCGTTTGTCTGAAGCCGGAGGTCCAGCAAACGAAGGGGGGAAGGAAGGAGGGAGGGAGGGAGGGAAGGAGGGAGGGAGGGAGGAGGGAGGGAGGGAGGGAAGGAGGGAGGGAGGGAGGGAGGGAGGGAGGAAGGGAGGGAGGGAGGAGGGAAGGGGGAGGGAGGAGGGAGGGAGGGAGGGAGGGAGGGAAGGAGGGAGGGAGGGAGGGAAGGAGGGAAGGAGGGAGGGAGGGAGGGAGGGAGGAAGGGAGGGAGGGAGGGAGGGAGGGAGGAAGGAAGGGAGGGAGGGAGGGAGGGAGGGAGGGAGGGAAGGAGGGAGGGAGGGAGGTAGGGAAGGAGGGAGGGAGGGAGGGAGGGAGGGAGGGAGGGAAGGAGGGAGGGAGGGAGGGAGGGAGGGAGGGAGGGAAGGAGGGAGGGTGGGAGGGTGGGAGGGAGGGAGGGAGGGAGGGAGGGAGGGAGGAAGGGAGGGAGGGAGGGAGGGAGGAAGGGAGGGAGGGAGGGAGGGAGGGAGGGAGGGAAGGAGGGAGGGAGGGAGGGAGGGAGGGAGGGAGGGAGGGAGGGAGGGAAGGAGGAAGGGAGGGAGGGAGGGAGGAGGGAAGGAGGGAGGGAAGGAGGGAGGGAGGGAGGGAGGGAGGGAGGGAGGGAGGAGGGAATGGAGGGAGGGAGGGAATGGAGGGAGGGAGGAATGGAGGGAGGAGGGGAGGAGGGAGGGAGGGAGGGAGGGAGGGAGGGAGGGAGGGAGGGGTTTAGTAACTCACCTGATAGAAAGAGAACAGTCGTTTGTCTGAAGCCGGAGGTCCAGCAAACGAAGACAGTGTCTGACGTGAGCGAAACAGTCGAGACCAGATGAGATCTTAAACTCTACTAGTGAGGTCCGGAACCTTAAGACAAGGTTGGTCAACACATCCAGTGTAGCCTGACTCTCTTTCAGCTTGGAGTCTGAAAATACACTGAGTCAGGGAGTTTATTAAGACTAATTGTCAATGTTCGGGTGTTGGCACTTGGCACGTTCCATCGTATAATACGGTATCAATTTGGCGCATCGCTGATCATAATCATAAATCATCCATAACTCAGTTAAAGGATTCAATTTCATTTTAAGTGTTCGTTCAGGTAATCTATTATAAGGTTACACCATATCCTCGGATCCCCCCTCGGATATGGTACTGACATAAAACTGGTAAAACTGTTTCATTATGTTCTATAATATCTAAGTTACCATATAGCTGGAAATAAAATATGCATATTTAATATCTAATACCTCAGCTGAATCCAAATAATAAATATCTGATGTTGTAGGAAGGGGCCGAATAAAAGGGAGGGACCGACAAATTCATCGTAAGCGGTTAAAGATTCAACCAGAATATTATTCCTCACATCACACTGCTATCTTGACGAGGAGGGGGGGCCCTCTCTCACAGTCATAAGTCAATTTGCTGTTAAAATGAGCGGACAAATAGGCAGTACTCCCCTTCCACCTTAGTGACTTATCACTTATAGCTTTATAGAGCTAACATGTTGAATTTGCTCCGACAGTGTTAATTTCAGGTTTGCCGCGAGTTATTGGGTATCACAAACCTAAAGCCATGCAGCACTATTGTAGAATAATCCAGAATGATTCTTCGTTGACCACAGTATTACAATTATGTTTAAATTACAACCTTGGAGCCAAAAAATTATATAAAATTATAATTATAAGACTTATAATTAACTAAGGACAATAAAAGATTGTAAGTTTATCAAATTAATGATAGGTACGTGTAATAAATTTGTTTAATGTTCAATATGAAGCTCGGTGCGACATGGCGACTGGCTAATGGAGTGTCGGAAACATTTTTAAGTTGCACCTCAACATATCGACATGTAACACACAATTACATTATAATTATATAATTGATTTTTAATCAGATAATTGATTTGTAATAACTTGAACCACTCATCAGTAATTGGTAAATACAATTATAAAGTTCTTTTAAAATGTTGACAGAAATGAAGACGCTCTTACCGATATTAGGGAGCCCAGTTTCTCGCAACCGCTCAGTTTTGGGCGGTACAATGGCTTTCTTCTTAGCATTAACAATCCCCTTCTTGATACTGATGTCCAACTGATCCTTGAGGTCGATGTGCACGAAGACGGAGGCTGGCTCGAGGGTAGAGCCGTCCCGCGCGCACAGCGGCAGGTGACGGAACCCTTGTCGAACTGTTTTCAGCGGTACCAGCACCTGAAAGTTATTTCAGGGTGACATTTATAAACGGTTAGGACCTCCCACGAGAGTGGTTAACTTTTTACCTGCTCCAGGATTAGCCAACAATGAGGGAAATCGTTAATTTGTCCAATAAAAAGTTATTTTTGGAGGTGCTAGTGCAGCTACCCACGAAGACTGGCCTGTAACAGGCCGCCTGTTACAGGATTATATATTAGGCAAAGATGCATATTTTAATATCATACAACTTTTATAAAGATTAAAAAGGTGATTTATAGCTTTATAGGATGGTTGGGAAAGAAGGGTGCTACATAATACAGATATTCCAGATTTATATTTAATTTCCTATTATTCTCGGATATTTGTAGGTTCACTTGCGTTGCAAACAAAATAGTCAGTACTAGTAGAGTGCTGTTAAAGAGAAATATCTCAGTTTACAATCAGCACTCTACAATCAGTTTACTCTTTTGTACACTCCCAAATGTGGAACTGCGGACTTCAGACCCTAGTAAGGTTTCAGGTTCTCAACACTTCCAACCTCTAACGTATACATTTATTATACACACAGCACACGTGCCAGTATACACAGTTGCCAGTATACACACGTTCCAGCATACACACGTGCCAGTATACACACCTTCCAGTATACACACGTGCCAGCATACACACGTGCCAGTATACACACCTTCCAGTATACACACGTGCCAGCATACACACGTGCCAGTATACACACCTTCCAGTATACACACGTTCCAGCATACACACGTTCCAGTATACACACGTTCCAGCATACACACGTTCCAGCATACACACGTTCTAGCATACACACGTTCCAACATGACATACACACGTTCCAACATGACATACACACGTTCCAACATACAATTTTTAGAATTAAACAACATGTATTTTAGAGACTTTCTCAAAAGTACACATACTTAGATACCAATATCTGATATGTTTTGAGAAAACAGTTTTACCTTATTACAATCTCTACTCAGTTGGTGTCTTAGCTTCATATTATTATAACTATAGTGGAACTATTTAGAGTTGGCGATTGAGATTATGATAGAAGGCCTCACTCTATTTCTATTAGATACGATAGGAACAGCCCTGAATGCACCTTTTCTAAACGTATTTCAGCACACTATAATATAGAGTTTATATTATAGTGTACCGATTTAGACTTTCAGACCCTACTCACTACAAGTGGCAATTTTTCCTGGTAAAAATGTCCGCAAAATAGTTTTGCATCATCTCCTCAGAACCCGCTCTAAAAGACACTAACATTCCGCACATCGCTTGGTATATCGTCAATTGTACACAACATAGTGCGGAGTACTCGCAAGAATGTGGCACCAGATATTTAGTTTGCGAGTATGATGCGGTCTTTTGTCGTCCGGTGGCATGGAAAGTTTGATAATTCATGTCCAATTATTCGTTTATTATCTTATTATGAGATGTCAACAAATGAACTAAGGCTTGATACTCTGATACATTCAAATTCTCACACAGTTTAATGAAGAATAACGTGATACAATAACTGTGACTACTTTATAATATAGTGCTATATGGTGTTAGCTTATATGGTGTGGTGTGACTTCCTTATAAGGCGTCGTGCGATATTTATGAAACAGAAACTAACCTGGCCAATATAGTCGTCTCCAATAAAGTCATCGTCCAACATGAGAATGTGCAGGAGCGCGCACTCCGGGTTCAGGATTGAGAAGGACACGTCTTCTTCCCAGACAGGGTGAAAACCTGAGAGAAGACCATTAAAGTGAGGAGTAAAGTGAAAACCTGAGACAAGATCATTAAAGTGAGGAGTAAAGTATCGGGTGAAAACCTGAGACAAGATCATTAAAGTGAGGAGTAAAGTATTGGGTGAAAACCTGAGACAAGATCATTAAAGTGAGGAGTAAAGTATTGGGTGAAAACCTGAGACAAGATCATTAAAGTGAGGAGTAAAGTATTGGGTGAAAACCTGAGACAAGATCATTAAAGTGAGAAGTAAAGTATTGGGTGAAAACCTGAGACAAGATCATTAAAGTGAGGAGTAAAGTATTGGGTGAAAACCTGAGACAAGACCATTAAAGTGAGGAGTAAAGTGAAAACTGAGACAAGACCATTAAAGTGAGGAGTAAAGTATTGAGTGAAAACCTGAGACAAGATCATTAAAGTGAGGAGTAAAGTATAGGGTGAAACCTGAGACAAGATCATTAAACTTAAAGTGAGGAGTAAAGTATTGGGTGAAACTGAGCCAAGACAAGATCATTAAAGTGAGGAGTAAAGTATTGGGTGAAAACCTGAGACAAGATCATTAAAGTGAGAAGTAAAGTATTGGGTGAAAACCTGAGACAAGATCATTAAAGTGAGGAGTAAAGTATTGGGTGAAAACCTGAGACAAGACCATTAAAGTGAGGAGTAAAGTGAAAACCTGAGACAAGACCATTAAAGTGAGGAGTAAAGTATTGAGTGAAAACCTGAGACAAGATCATTAAAGTGAGGAGTAAAGTATAGGGTGAAAACCTGAGACAAGATCATTAAACTTAAAGTGAGGAGTAAAGTATTGGGTGAAAACCTGAGACAAGACCATTAAAGTGAGGAGTAAAGTATTGGGTGAAAACCTGAGACAAGATCATTAAAGTGAGGAGTAAAGTATTGGGTGAAAACCTGAGACAAGATCATTAAAGTGAGGAGTTAAGTATTGGGTGAAAACCTGAGACAAGATCATTAAAGTGAGGAGTAAAGTATTGAGTGAAAACCTGAGACAAGATCATTAAAGTGAGGAGTAAAGTATCGGGTGAAAACCTGAGACAAGATCATTAAAGTGAGGATACATAAGAGTAAAGTATCGTGAGAGGAGAAACACAATGGAATGTTTGACTCGTGCAGGCCTGTTTTAGTAACATTTTCCTGAAATTAATTAACGATGGTAAATTAAACACCGTGTAAGACGTGTACTCTTGCGTTAAAATATCCAGTTTATGGTTAGATACGGTAATTGCACTTAATTAGGCATGTACATTGTACAGGGTTTGCAGGAGTCAGAAAACGTCGTTTTTATCACTCTGGGAAATTAGTTCCAGGCACTAAAACTCCCCTGACACTCACATCTGACGTTAACATAAGTAACATTAATTAACACGTCATATAAGATAAGGTTTTAATTAAAAGTACTGGAGAGAGAGATCACGTACCGTCGTTCTTGACGGCGTAGAGAGAGAGAGAGAGAGAGAGAGAGAGAGAGAGAGAGAGGAGAGAGAGAGAGAGAGAGAGAGAGAGAGAGAGAGAGAGAGAGAGAGAGAGAGAGAGAGAGAGAGAGAGAGAGAGAGAGAGAGAGAGAGAGAGAGAGAGAGAGAGAGAGAGAGAGAGAGAGAGAGAGAGAGAGAGAGAGAGAGAGAGAGAGAGAGAGAGAGAGAGAGAGAGAGAGAGAGAGAGAGAGAGAGAGAGAGAGAGAGAGAGATATCACATACCGTCGTTCTTGACAGCGTACGTGCGGTACTCGTGGGAGTCCTGAGGAATGCCAATAATCCTGACCACTATGTACGGGTCCACTGTGTCTATCTTGCTGACGGACCCCTCTGGTTTGGGTAGCTGCTGTGCACTTATCAACTGAAAGAAGAAAATGTTACTGCTTTGCAATGTGCATGTGCTCAATTTTAAGAAAACAGCAGTGGTAACTTTGGAGAAGATCACCAGTAATAATAAAACGTATTGCCCATTAATCTGGCTATTGATTTTGGAGAAAATATAGTTGATTAGTTGCATGACCCACTATCATAATAATTCTCACTATTATATATATTATTTCTATTCAGTTATTCAGAGAAGAGCTGAAGATATTGTCACCTGCATCTGATGTTATGACTAAATGCCTGGTATGTCTAGATATTTGTGAGGCGGCGCATCTTTGTTTTGACAATTGGAACCGATTAGAAAATCAATTTACAAGCGACACCGCTTAGTATGAGCAGTCTTATCAGAGGCACATTTCATTGAAGAATGTTCAGTACATTGAACTATTTTCATGTCAGTAATAGTTACGAGGGTTTTACGCACCGAGGTTTACACGCTGAGTGCAATCAATCGTGTAGTTTTGTGGATAGTTTGCCAATAACGATACTGCCGCTTATTTAATCAAGTATTAGTATTATTGAGTCTCAACTTACAACTCAAGTGTGATGCAGTTAAAGAACTTTGAAAGTAAGTGATGCAATGGCATCCTGACACATTAAAGTAGTACTTACTAGTACTTAGCAGAACTAAGTTAAAATAATAAGTTAGAATGTCAGAGATACGATACTCTAATGAAATTGTTTGGCTGGATGCCAAATATTTGACTCACCAGATTGTTGAGATGTTTATGATGAATACTAGCTATGTGACTTACCCGAATGTTGAGATGTTTTGGCTGGATGCCAGCTATGTGACTTACCCGAATGTTGAGATGTTTTGGCTGGATGCCAGCTATGTGACTTACCCGAATGTTGAGATGGTTATGCTGGATGCCAGATATATGACTTACCCGAATGTTGAGATGTTTTGGCTGGATGCCAGCTATGTGACTTACCCGAATGTTGAGATGTTTTGGCTGGATGCCAGCTATGTGGGTCTCCGTTTCCAAGGAGTAGTGGTAACATTCCCTTCTCAATATCTCGGGTTTTAGTGCTAGTCCTTTTCCTCCTTGCTGAAAAACATCCATTAAATATCAAATTAATAGCAATATTTGCCAAGGGGACGATATGGTACCTAGAGCATTGTATTTTGTAACAATAATATTTTGTTATTTAGAATTAGACGGCGTTATTGCATTAAGCTGTTAAGCCTAGCCATAACATATTCTGTAGTCGGAACTAAAATATCCAAATTTAATGGATCCTACTGACTTACTATTCCCAAACCTACTATTCCCTGACCTTCTATATCATCTCCTTTACCTTCCTGAGCTGCTATCCTCTAATAACCTCGTGTGCCGTTAACCCTCGTGTGCCCCCCCCCCTCCCCCTCGTGTGCTATATCCCCTTACAGCACCACAACAGTGCGGCCAGCACAATTGTTTCAAAACAGTATCTCATCTATCCTTTTTATAGACCGTAATGAAACAATGGGGGATATGTCTCTGTATAAATGTAATATATCCACAATATCCTAATACTCTAATAACAGGATAGTCCACAGTACAAAGAATACTCCCCTTACTGCACTATCTGATAGCAACTTGGTACACCCTCTCAGTCAGAACGGTCTCTAGCTGCTCTAGAGAGCTAGTAGTAGGATAATAATAAGCTCACAAACTACACAATCAAATAGTTACTATGCTTTATGTGGTACACCCTGTGTAGTGTATGGACACGTTCATTTGAGTTTGAGGATATTGGTAAATATAAGTGACCCTATTAAAAGGCACAGTGTAGTTGACTTTGTCACACTATGAAATTACACAAACCCTTGATGGTTAGGATAATCGTCTCATCCTCTAGGCTAACTTTGTCACTTAACGATATCTTAATCAGCTGATAAGATATCGCTTAAATACGGCCGGCACGGAAATGGTTACATTGTCACACTATAAACATGTGACGGAGTAAATATGGACCCCTTACTGCCGTTTTTGACCAAATTTTTGAGTGTCCAGTTGATTGGATGTTTACATATGACCATTACCTACATATTTGACGAGTTTTTTCGTTAGATGGTGCACTCAGGTTTACTCTGTCACACATTTAAGAAAACATGTGAAGAATGTTTAGGGCACCCTGATAAGCAATGCTGAGTAGTGTAGGTTTATTTGATGGCCTGGAAGTGCTAGGAATTGTTATTATATCATATAGTCGTAAGGAATTAAAACACAGAAGGCACAAACAAGTTTACTTTGTCACATAATCTTGATGATATCTGAACATGTGTGAAATTGAACAAATAATGATATACCAGCTTAAACCCCTTATATTACGTACTATGGATCAAACAAAACTGCTAGTACCACGCACCAGTCACATAAATCATTATCGGGTGGTAATATGTTAATAGTGTCACAATTAAACTACCGCAACATGGTCAAAAATAGGGTAATTTCGTCACAAAAAATTATTATAACTCTGTTAGCTCCTTGCTGGCAAAATAACTAGTTCATTGATGATAAAGTTACATAGTATTCTTATAGAGGTATAGCTCTTCAAAATAGGGGCAAGACATGTTTACTTTGTCACATCAGTTATTATACGAGTTAGGTAATCGTCATCAGATTAACAGATCTTTTTCGTAGTTTGGATCGATTAATATAGGCAATAAAGCATCATATGCCAATTTTAACACACTATCTTGATATTGTTGGGGCAGGGAAAGTTAATTTTGTCACATTTTCAGCGTTTTTGACAAATTAATCTAAAATTGTTAAACTTGAGCTCTGATGTTCTGGACAATATTCGACCAATCGTTTCTGAAAGAATGCTGAATTCTTATAGAGTTATAGATCTTCAAAATAGAGGCAAGACATGTTTACTTTGTCACATCAGTTATTATAAGAGTTAGGTAATCGTCATCAGATTAACAGATCTTTTTCGTAGTTTGGATCGATTAATATAGGCAATAAAGCATCCTATGCCAATTTTAACACACTATCTTGATATTGTTGGGGCAGGGAAAGTTAATTTTGTCACATTTTCAGCGTCTTTGACAAATTAATCTAAAATTGTTAAACTTGAGCTCTGATGTTCTAGACAATATTCTACCAATCATTTCTGAAAGAATGCTGAATTCTAATAGAGTTATAGATCTTCAAAATTGGGGCAAGACATGTTTACTTTGTCACATCAGTTATTATTAGAGTTAGGTAATCGTCATCAGATTAACAGATCTTTTTCGTAGTTTGGATTGATTTATATAGGTAATAAGGCAGCCTATGCTAATTTTTACACACTATCTTGAAATTTTTGGGGCAGGAAAAGTTAATTTTGTCACATTTTTGGTGACTTTAACAAATTTAATCTAAAATTGTTAAACTTGAGCTCTGATGTTCTGGACAATATTCTACCGATTTTTTTCTGAAAGAATGTTGAATTCTAATAGAGTCATAGAATATATAGATCTTCAAAATAGGAGCAAGACATGTTTACTTTGTCACATCAGTCATTATAAGAGTTATTATAAGAGACTATTTCATTCTATAATCATTGTTTTTAACCTATTTACGATTTCGTATCATTTTTTGTGACAATGTAAACATCAACTGATCTTAACTTGCATCAACTACATTGTCATCATGTAAAGTTTTCCCGCCTTTCAAACCAAAATCGGATATAAATAATTCCACCAAAATTTAAAATTCCATATATTGTGACAGAATTAACCTCATTTCCCAATAACCAAGTGCCTGTATTAGCTAACTATTCGAAACAACATATGTTAGGGCTATGATTGGTAGATCAACCATCAAATAATGAGTTAAAAGGTTTTTGAGGACACCTCACAGTAGAATAGAGGTTTGGTATTCTGAGTGTGACAAAGTTACCCAAATATTGCCTTGTAACCGTTTGATCCGTGCCCTTTAACCAATGTTGTATCATAATTGTTAGATTGACCTAATCTACTATATTTTAGGCCAAGTAATTATAATTAGACAACTGCAGTTAACTAAGTCACACAAAATGTGACATTTGAACCATTATAGTGCCTAACAACAATAGATTTTCTTTCTGAGCAGTGCATATGGGAGTATGGGTTACGTGGCTAATGTTCAGAACTTCTGAACGTGCTAAGTTAATAGATGTCAAAATTAAGCCACTATCGTTGAAAACGCTATCATTTTTGTTTACCAATATCCTCAAACTCAAATGAACGTGTCCGTATACACAAACTAGGCTACACGAGCCACCTGTATTTATCAGAAAGGAGCTGTGTCAATACACGTACTGCTAGCACACAAAGAAGGTAAGCTACTAGTAGTATTGGAGGCTAATGCATAGTACATTCGTTATAACTGCCAATTATACACTAAACTAAAAGCCTGTACACAGGTTTTCCATGCTTTGTAAGGGAACCTAGTTAAAAGGAATCTGAGAATCGGTGCAGGTTTCTTAGAACTTAAAACAGTTTTAAGTTATACATAACAAACACTTACACACGTGCAACTTATACCGTCTAAATGTAATTCTAATGGAAACATATGGAGATTTATAATTCTATTTTAATCCATTAATTTATAATCCTATTTAAATCCATTAATTTATCTGAATTACTTTATATTATATTACTATCCATAAAGCTGTACCCAGTTGTTTGCAGAAGCAGATTTTACATAATTCAAACACTTAATCACAATATTTACAGCTTTTTAGTGTCGTCACTGCCTTACGTATCAGCACATCAAGAAAACGTTTAGTTCTTGGTATCTTCATTACAATCCTTCTATTCCAATGCTGATTTATTATTGTCGATATGCTTTGCGGGTAGATGTACAGTTATTATTGCTTAAAATACTAAAATACCGTCAAGGACCTCTCAATGCAGAATCTAGCTAAGTTTATTATAGGGATAGTAGGTTTTACACTAGAGTGTCCGAGCGTTGCGAGGATCTTTATCCGACATACATATCCTAGACAGTTGTTATAGTACTAGTATTGAGGTATCTCACGCCCCTTAGTTCGCCACAGAAGAGATTTATAAGTGCAGACAAAGGGCATTTCAAGCAATGTACTGCCTTCATTCTTTATACTAATTCTTCTTCTTCAATTCTTACATATTATAACAGAAGATATCATAGCCTTGATTCGAACAATCAACTTCTCAGGATCCCCTGTCCGAGGTATTCTTTTCTTAGCATTCTCTTCAATCCTAGCCACTCCTACGAAAACCCATTGTCTATCTATTCAGGAGACGTAACATGAGACAGTTCTTTAGGTACCCCGTACCACCCTCGGAGAGAGTACACTTAGTGGAATGAGTTGTACTAAAGTAACTCTCTGTTCACTGCAAACTACATGAAGTAATTGATATACATACAGGTCAGTAATTCACTACAATGCCGAAGAAAATCTATGGAAAAGAAGACGTCGTAAAACAGGGGCAGTTACTTGTATCCTTTACTCAAGATGATTATAATATTAATATTATGACGGATTCTGTTGCATGCAGTTTTCTGGGTAAATGAATCTACAAACCAGGTTGAATTTCTGCATAAACAGTCATATTTATGACTTATGAGCACAGTGCGCCTTTTTGAATTTCAGGCTTTACACCTATACAGTATACGATCTATTTCTGTCTCCATTCCAACCAGGAGTTAGTGTGCCATCACGTGCAATGTTAGGGTGCCATCACGTGCAATGATCCTTTTGGTTTTTCTCAAGGTCAAATGGGAAAATAATATGCAAACACTAGATCAGCTGTCATTTGATATTTTGGTGGTATTTTACATTTGGTAGCATGTTTTCCTCCTATTATAATAGTGTAATGACTAATAGTGTAATGACTAATAGTGTAATGACTAATAGTGTAATGACTAATAGTGTAATGCCTAATAGTGTAATGACTAATAGTGTAATGACTAATAGTGTAATGACTAATAGTGTAATGACTAATAGTGTAATGACTAATAGTGTAATGACTAATAGTGTAATGACTAATAGTGTAATGAATAATAGTGTAATGACTAATAGTGTAATGACTAATAGTGTAATGACTAATAGT